GGGGAAGAAAATGGATGGATGGATGGAATGTTGTATAATCATTATCAATATTATTATTACTTTTTACAATTCCCATTATCATTACTATAATACCTTAATAATAATACATTTTATTTATATTGAACCTTACATTTCCACAAAACCTCAAATTGCTATTATCAATATCAAAATCATTATTATCTATTTTCTTTCTTTATTAGGCCCGCAATCAAGTTAGAATCTAGGGACGGACCTTGCAAATTAGCCTTGGCGATAAATGTTTCAAGTAAATGAATTTTCTACCCCTTGATCCATTTCTGGGTTGGAATGAATAACAATAAATAAAAATTAAATCAAGCACTCATAAAAGAACCACCATCGTTGACTAACACACTCGGCGATTATTATTGTTTATAGCGGCCCATGACAGTAAAGGGGCGGAGCTTAAGCAACTGGGTTGGTTTGGTGAATGCGAGGGCCGTTCATCGTCGCTTGCGGTTTTACGTATAATCATTGTTATTCTAGACATGAATGAAAGTCAATGTTCTATTAAGAGCAGTTGAACATAACACCAAATACTTCAGGTGAGCAGAATGTTGCGTGCATCAGGGGTCTCCAACATGTTTTTCTTGGAGAGCTACTTTTACACTACATGTAGAGAGCTACTTTGTTTTTGCAGTCGTAGTAAAACAGTAGTCTATGCAATAACTACATCTAACATCCAGGACGTCACTCACACTGTAAAATATACCAGATCCCTACATTAGTGAATCTAATGAAAGCATGTATAGTTAAATTGATATGTATTGAATCAAAATATAATCATTTAGCATTATGTGTCAAATTCATTAATCTATCTCGCTACTAGCCCTGTAGAATTTTTGATTATCGATTAGTTGGGTAGTGTTTATTTAGAATGCACCCGTTAACACTTGGACTCCCAGAATACTGAAACTACTAGAACTCCCAGAGCAGTCATTTTGATGGTTTTCATTTGATTTGATGAAGATAATATTTGGCATAAATAGGATCAAAAGACGTGTGCAAAAGACAGGAAATGTAAAAAAACAACAACAAAAATAGTATATCAATGGAATTATACAGTTTTAGGTTCTCAAATTCCTGAATCCTTTGGGGAGCTACCTGAAAATGGGTGGCGAGCTACAGGTTGGAGACCACTGATAAACAGTATATAGAACTGATATACAGTATATAGAACATTGTATATTGAGAGAACACTTTTGATTCTTTCTCTGTCGTATTGGCTCTTTCTATTCCTCTTTCACTATTTATGCGCAATGGAAAATTTCTAGGAAAACACGTGGAAAATATTACAAGCAGTGTATTCCAGTCCAAGGCCACAGTACTGTACGCACACCTCACCTGACTTCGCTTGTTGCTCTACTGCCCCATTTTAAGCCAAACATTCTAATCTCTTTTTTTTTTCATTTTTTTTCAAGCCCTTTATTGTCCATTTCTGGGTCAGGGGGGTGGCAATGAGAGCTGCCACCCAATGCTCATAGCACCAGTCCCTCGCTGATCCTCTGCAGGTGGTGAGTCCACAGGAAGATGGCTGCTCTGTCAGTGATGAAACAGCCTTGGTCTTTCAGCGGGGGCTTCAGGCAACGTGGGGTTAAGTGTCTTGCCCAAGGACACAACGACAGTAGACATCAGTGGGAGCAGTTGGAGTAGGTCCCATGGTGGGAATTGAACTCACGACCTCCAGGCTCAAAGGCCACTGCTCTACCAACTGAGCTACTGTCGCCCCTTCACATTCATGTCGAAAACAATTCTTGACATGAATGCAGAGCTCAGGCTTATGCAAAACCTCGTAATTAATCCATCCCGGACCACCCAGATGGTTGCCATAGCTCCACTTCTTTGCCGTGGACTTATATCTCATTTATATGCCTGTGCGGATACAGGTTTGTGTAAGTTTGAGCTGCTGTGAGCATTTCATTATTATCAGCTGACACGGCCTATTGTCGACTATTTAACAAACTTCTGCTTGCATCAGTAACGGGAAGAGAGTGACTTTTAATCAAATGAACGTTCTCTATCCAATATGAAAAATCCCTCTACACTAGTTCTCTCATATTTATAACACAATTAGACACATTCCCTTCAGCGCAATAAGTGAAATATGTTTTATTCAGTCATTGGAAACACAATGAAACAACTCAAATTGTGATACATTTGCTGCTGCGAGCAACTTCTTTGCCTATAGCCGAGTTTTGAATGAGTTTGTTTTTTGTACGCAGCACTATTTTCATTGTTTTTAATTACTTGTTCAAGTGTTTGTTCGGGCATCTACAAGGCACAAAATCCATACGGCGGCACTCGTTTCGTTTGCATGTTTTCCCCATGTCTGTGTAGGTTTCCTGTGGGTGCTCCGGTTTCCCCTACCACTAAAAACATGTACAATAGTTCAGGCATGTGTCTCCTGGTGTATGATGACCTCGCTCCTATCTCTGTGTGGAGTGAGAGACAAATGCCCACAATTGTAAAGCGTTTTGTGACTCTGGTCTGTGAAAGGCGCTATATAAATAAAGATGACTTACCTACTTACTAACTAATAATATGAAGGAAAAGCACAAAAAGAAAGAGAAAACATTTCAACTTGAACATGATCCCAAAGGAGCAGTATTTAAAAATTTGGCCAAAAGTGGTACTGCAACTTCTCCCACTCTCCCTGACTCAGGTTGCCAGATATGCAGACGAATCCAGCTGGGACCATAATATCTGAATAGACAAGAGTTTTGTCAACAACAAATTTACAACCAACACTTTTTTCATAAAGATAGAAATACTGGTTTTGTTCCTTGTTTTGTCATTAATGATTACAGAATCCTAACAAGACCTTTTTTAGTTCTGCAGCCACATGTTACTTTACCAGTCAGAACAGCTCAACACAGTGAATTCTGGCAACCCGGATCACAGAGTTTCTGATTGGTGAAAGTGGAGGGCGGGACATCAAAATGAAAACAATAAATAGATTTAGGGGCTGTAAAACTAATTTTGAAATCCAAATATCTCGGCTGAACTACTGTTGTCAGTTAAAGAAGTATTTGGAAAGATTATGGTTTATGAATACCTTTTGACATTTTAGGGCCATTTAATGATGACTTGCTATGAAAATCTTACATATTGCTTCTTTAATGTGTGTTTTTAATGTTCATAATTTATGTGATGATTTATGCCTGATGTGATATGGGCTGTGAACCACTTTATGTTAAGTTAAAGGTTAATAAGACCAGATTCATTCATCTGGCCTTATGAGTCATTTCTGTTTATCAAAGCCAGCCGATTTTAGTTTCTTCCCAAATCCATAATTTTGCATGTCTAAGAAACCCTTAGACTTTGCTTGCCCACTTGTGTATAGTGGCCAAGGCAAGTTTATTTGTATAGCACATTTCATACACAAGGCAACTCAAAATGCTGAACAAGATAGAAGAAATCACACAAGGCTTTGAAATCCTACATAATCACTGTACATTAAAAAGAGCAAAGATAAAATCCCTCAGTTGTATGCACAGCTAAACAGAACTGTTTTTAACCTGGATTTAAATATGGTCAGAGAAGAAGCCTGTCTCACATTTTCAGGAAGACTGTTCCAGATTTTAGCTGGGTGAATGTTTAGTTCTGACTGTGGGCACCAGCAGGAGGTCAGTCCCTGTGCTCCTCAGAATCCATGTCACTTACAGTATGTAGTTTAATTTTAACAAACGTCATGTAGATTTGTATTTTCTTTTTTCACATTTCTATTTTGCAAGCACCGAGAGCCAAAGCAATTTCCTAGTTCGTGACTTCCTGTTACTTACAATGGCAATAAAAATATACTCTGATTCTGAGATTTACAAATACAGTGCGGGTGTATTGCCTTGGCACTAATGCAGATGTGTGTGTGTGTGTGTGTGTGTGTGTGTGTGCGTGTGTATGCCAGTCACTATAGCAGCGACAGATTACAGACTGGTGGGTGGTGTATCGTGTGTGTGTGTGTGCGTGTGTGTGCGTGTGTCTGTGGCTCTGGCTGAGGCGGGCTCTAATCCTGCCTTTGTTCGCAGACATAAGTGTCTATAGGTGACAGAGAAGAGAAGGGGGTATTCAATATCAGAGCGCCGTAATGTACTACTGTTCTGTACACCGGCTCTCAAGGAAATCCTCCGTCTATGCACCGCGGAGGGAACTATTCACAATTTTTGAACCACAACCCAATATATGATACTTTGCGTCAGTAAGAGGGACACTTTAGTTTTGTGTTCCCCAACCTTATTTTGAGTTCTGGTACAGCTTTTCCACTGTATCACGATCAAGTACTGTAGGTCGCACACCACCAGCAGAAACGAATGGAAAAATGCAACTCAGTCTTTATCAACAGTGTATAAAACTAAACAAGTGCAAAAAAAAGTTTCTAATCTTCCCACATGATCCTCTTTTCCCATTTTTTTGACCAATGAGGTTATATTCACTTCACTTCGAATCGCTTATGTTCTACCTTTCCTGTGTTTTGTGTGTGTTTTTTATGCACACAAGGAGAGGACAAAAAGCAGACAAGGAGAACACAGGGAGCATACAAAATATACAGTAATTGACGATAAGCCACTTTTTTTTATCTCGTTCTTTTACCCTGCGGCTTATATAGCGATACGTATACGATAGAGTGTGTATTTTTAATTAGGTAGAGTTGGGAGGTTGTCAAAGCAGAATTTATGGAGGTGTTATTATTTTGACTGAGTTCTAGTAGCTATCGGGCCCTCGTTTAATGTCCAAATAGAAATTAAAATGAATGAGAACCTGCACTACATTCAAGTATGTCCATGTATGTGGACAAAATGTACTTTATGATAGTTCAGAAAGTACTGTATATGAAAACCGTCTGAGAATAATGACTTTTTTTAGAATGATCAATTTAATTTTTTTATTTTTGCTGCTACTGCACACCTGAATTTCTCCTACGGTGGATCAATAAAGTATCTATCTATCTATCTTTATTGATGTTTCAGTTCTCCCTGTCCTTGCAGATGTTCCTGGCTGCCCTGTCTTTTGCCTATTTTGCCAAAGCTCTGTCAGGCAGCTACATGAAGAGCACCATCACCCAGCTGGAGCGGCGCTTTGACATCCCAAGTTATCTGATCGGCATCATCGACGGAAGCTTCGAAATAGGCAAGTGTTTGCTTCCCATTAGCCTGGTCTTACCACACCATCGTACTAAGGTCTGGATTTGCTCCGTTGAGCTCTGTTAACAGGTGGGAGGAGTTAACTCCTTTAGCAGAATGAAACAATTGGATCTGAGTTTACCGTGACGTATGTAATGCGCCCGAGTGAGTCGTTAGCATTTAGCATTTAGCCTAGCTTTAGCCATCTCTTTTGCCATTAACAGAGCCCGGGGGGAGTAGCGCCACAAATTTGTTGACAGCAATTACATTTACTAAACATTCCTCTTTCTCCAGCTTTAATTTCTTGATAAAACCAGATTACTGGATTACTGGATTACTTTACTATTGCCTTCTCTGCCATTGCCAAACTACAACCCGCAAATTTGGTGCAAACTCTTGACGTCACCGACACCTGCCTACAACACACTCCTCCCCAACCTACATTCAACCGATGTAATTGCAGACACTGGGAGCAGACCCAGATGGTACATGTAGGAAAATGATAATTAATAGTTACTTAATGTAACTATTAATTCTACGAATAGGTGCGTAGTCCCTTAGGACTTCGCTAGTGGGATATCACTCGTGACCCCCAGGTCACACGCCAGAGAGATCAAAATAATTTGCTCCAATCACCAGCCACCTTCCTCTATAAATGCCCCTGCACAAGGCCGCACCCCCTCTTGAACTCTGCCAAGCCGGGCTGGCCTGATGGGCTCGTAGCTAAGGGACTACGCACCTATTCGTAGAACTTAAGTTACATTAAGTAACTATTAATTCTACGTCATGGTGCTACGTCCCTTAGGACTTCGCTAGTGGGACACAACGCGGAGGCCGTAGGAAAATGTACTCCCAGCAGGCCAGCGAAGGGTGATTGGAGCTCCGCCCGAGCAAGACCCTCACAACGTGAGAGGACTCAGGGCAGAAGAAACAAGCGTGTTACGGGGCCACTCCTACCAAGGATACCCCCACGTAACACAAGCCGTAGGTCATCCGTAGTCACAGGACGCCTCTCCCAAGAGCTCCTGACGTGGACTACCAGACCGACCACACACACAAAATGTACCGCACCTGTAGGATGCCTCTCCCAAGAGCTCCTGCACCAGGGCGGAAAATAGACCGAAGGCCCCCCTCAGGGGAGGGACCCAACGGTCTAACTCAGTCCGCTGCACTCAGCACGGAATGGGCCACCGACCGGTCCGACACATCCGAAAGATAAGACCGGACGAAAGAGGAGGACGACGCCCAAGAAGCCGCACGGCAAACGTCCTCGACCGACGCCCCCCTGAGAAGGGCCGTAGAGGCCGCCATCCCACGCGTGGAATGCGACCTGAAACCCACCGGGGGGGCCAGACCCTGCGTCTGATACGCCCGCCGCACCGCCGTGGCGACCCAATGCGCCAGCCGCTGAGCCGACAGCGGGGCGCCCCTGTTCTTGGGGCCCAGACACACAAACAGCTGATCACCCGACCTGAATGACGACGTCATGGCCAGGTAATGCCTCAGCATTCTGATAGGACACAGAAGGTGCTGCCGCTCCTCCTCGGGGGAGGCATGCAGCGGCGGGTGGAAAGCCCTAATCCTGATGACTCTCGACCTAAAGGCCGACGTGATGACCTTGGGGAGAAAAGCCGGATTGGGCCACAATTCCACCATGCCGTCGTCCTCTCCAAAGGACAGGCACGACGCATGGACGGAGAGCGCACACAAATCGCCCGCCCTCTTAGCAGACGCCAACGCCAGTAAGAGGGCCGTCTTAAAGGCGATACACTCGGGACTCGCCTCCGCCGCCGGTTCAAAAGGCGGACCCGACAGCCCCCTAAGGACCACCCTGAGGTCCCAAACCGGAGGCGTTTTCTGGAGCGGGGGCCTCCTCCTGCGCGCCCCCCGCAGAAAACGTTTAACCAACGGGTGAGAACGGGCTGTGAACCCCCCGAATCCGTCGTGACCCGAAGTAATGGCTGCCGCGAACACCGCCAAGGTAGCGACAGCCCTCCCCTTGTCGAAGAGCTCCTGTAGCCCTCCAGCGGGCAACACCTGGGATCCCAGGAACGGGAATCGCACCAGACACTGAATAGCCTCCACCTCGTGGCGTAGGCCCTCACGGTGGACGGCGCCCTCGCTCCCTGAATGGTCTCCACCACCGCAGGGGGAAGACCCAGATCTACGAGGCTCCGCCTCTCAACCTCCAAACCCAGAGCCTGTGGCCGATTATCGGACGTGAAAACAGGGCTCCTGCCCCCTGGACTAGAGCCCCCGGCTCGTCCGGGATGGCCCAGGGCTCCATCACCGCCATGCCCCTCAGGAAGGGGAACCACCCCACCGGGCATGCGGACTGTCCGGAGCCACCAGGATCACCGATCTCCTCTCCTGTTCGATCCTCCGCAGCAGGACCGGCAGGAGACGCACCGGTGGGAAAGCGTACAACAGGCCGCCTGGCCATGGGTAATGAGCCAGAGCGTCCACGCCTAAAGGCGGCTCGTCCGCGGCCCTTAAGGCGAACCAGGACGGGCACTGTGCGTTCTCTGCACTGGCGAAAAGGTCGACCACTGGACGGCCGAACCTCCGCCAGATCTCCGCAGCTACCCGTGGGGCCAGGCCCCACTCGTCCTGGAGTGGGCCCCCCCTGGACATCCTGTCGGCTCCCACGTTCCGGACCCCCGGGACGTGGCGCGCCCTGAGAGACAGGAGGTGAAGCGCCACCCACAGCAGCGTCACCGTCGCCATGCGATGGAGAGCGGGGGACCTGGTGCCCCCCTGCCTGTTCAGATAGGAGACCACTGTGGTGTTGTCTGAGCGCACCATCACGTGTCTCCCCTGCAGCTGAGGGGCAAAGTGCAGCAGTACTCTGTGCACTGCCTCCATCTCCAGCAGGTTGATGTGATGGGCTGAGTCCGACCAGCAGCCTCCTACAGAGCTCTGGCCGAGGACCCCGCCCCATCCTTCGAGCGACGCGTCCGTGAACACCTCGACGTGAGACACGGCGCAGGCCAGAGTCACTCCGTCCCGCAATAGACCCGGAGTGAGCCAGAACCTGATGTCCGATGCTGCCCCTTGGGGAACCCAGATCAGCCTCCCCCCGTCCCGGGAGGGGTGAAGCCTGAGGCGCGAGAACCACCTCTGAAAATTTCTCATGTGGAGCAGGCCTAGCCGCACCACAGCATGAGCCGCTGCCATCATTCCCAGCAGGGACCTGAGGCGCCGAGCGGGGACTCTGGGGCCCGCCAGAACCTCCCGGGCCAGACGGGTAATATTCATCCGTCTGTCCACGGACAATGCAGCACGGAATATCACAGAGTCTAGCTGCAGACCGAGATAAACCATGCGTTGGGCTGGCTGCAGCTTGCTCTTCTCCCTGTTCACCACAAAGCCCAGACGCTGTATGTGGGACAGGACCCAGTGCGTGTGGCTCACGGCCACCTCCCTGGATGGGGCCAGTATTAACCAATCGTCTATATAGGTTAATATTCTTACCCCCGCACGTCTGATCGGCTCCAGAGCTGCCTCCACACATTTGGAAAAAGTCCGAGGCGCGAGTGCGTACCCGAAGGGTAGACGGCAGTACTCGTAATTCCTCTCTCCCACTGCGAAGCGCAGAAACCTCCTGTGTTCTGGCACTATGGGCACGTGGAAGTACGCATCTGTCAGGTCTATGGAAGTCATCCAGTCTCCTTCCCTGACACACTCGAGGAGCTGCCTTGTGGACAGCATCCGAAACTGCCGTTTGGAAATGCACTCGTTTAACACGCGCAGATCCAGAATGGGACGCACCCCGCCTGATTTCTTTGGCACTAAGAAGTAAGGGGAGTACAGCCCCCTGGTGGCGTCCTGCGGGTCTACCTCCACTGCTGCGCCTCGACTCAGCAGAGAGGAGACCTCCGCTTGTAGTGCCTCTGTCGATCCCCGTACCTGAGAGCGTACGCCTCGGAATGGTGGTGGCTTTCGGAAAAATTGCAGTGCGTAACCCCTGCGCAAAGTTTTCTCCAGCCAAATATCTGTCAGTAAGCCCTGCTCCCTCCAGATGTTGTAGAAATCTGTGAGGGGCGGAACGGGAGTTGGAACACGAGACGTCACGGCCCCGCCCTCTCCTGGTGTTCCTAGCAGGGAGGGGGGGTGAACGAAAGGGCCCCCTGCGTCACACCGTGAGCGCCGGGGGCGGTCACGTGTCCTGCAGGCCCGACGTCATAAGTACGGGACTGCTCATTCCACGTGACTCGGCTGCTGTGCCCCCCCCTGGCTCTTGCCTCATGGAGGGGGGGCGAGCCCCTGGAGTGGGAAACCCCGTGTTAGCCTTGTAGCTCAGAGATGCTAACACGCGTTCGGCCGGAGCACACACATTATCACTCACCAGATCCCTCCGCCTGCCCTCTCTCCGGGAGGGCAAAAACATGAACCCAAGAATCGGAGCTCGTGGCTCGCGTAGCACGCTGCACGCCCTTCTCTGGGGGCTGCAGGCCTAGCGGAGCCACGTTATATGCTCGAGAAGTAACACAATCAGAATTCAGATCATTTGACAAGTTACATACCCCCAAATGAGACTCAGACAGCGAGTACTGATGAAATGCCGGTCGGCTTTTATTGAAAACATTCTTCCCACCCCGACCTCCTCTGCCATAGGGAGGTTGTCGATGGGTGCGTTGGTCCCGCGAGCCTCCCGTGTGCCTGTCTGGGCCCGGGGGTCTCGTTGCTGGGGAACGATGAACCACGGAGCGTGGATATGGCCCGGGGCGCCTGCCGGGCGAGCGCTCCCTGCCTCTGTCTCGGCTCCGCGCTGGTGGGCGGGCCTCGCGTCTCGCAGCTAGATGCTGGGCTAGGCTAGCAGAGTCCTTAGCTGCGGTGTCCAGCCTAGTCATCAGCGTCTGCATCTCCGGACCGAAGAGTGACGTTTGGGAGATGGGCAGGTCCAGCAGCTGCCTCTTCTCCGCCTCTCTGAGGTTCACCAGCCCCAGCCAGAGGTGTCTGGCCCCAACTTGTGCTGCTGCCATCGTGCGGCCGCCATCGACAGCTAGCGCCTGGCACATGCGCAGGATCGCTGCTGAAGTGGTCCTCGCCTGGGATAAGGTGTCTCCACTGAGCGCCTGGCCAGAAGAGAGAGACCTATCCAGGGCCCCGGTGATGAAGGCCATGTTGTTAGCCACCGCGACGACCTGAGCCGCATTGGCGTAACATCTATCGTGCATCGCCAAAGACATCCTATCCCGCTCGGAGGGAAGGAGAGGTCTGGTGCCGGGCCACACGGATGCGGAGGGGTGCAGGGCCGCTCGAACCGAGTCCTCGATGTCCGGGACCCCGCCGGTCCAGGACCAGTCCTGCACGTTACAATACATGCCGTACCCCAAAGCGGGCCTCTTGGCTGCTAGGGGCTTTGGCCACTCACGTGTCGCGTAATGGACGATCGGGTCCATCCGCGGGCACACCGTGGGCTGCGCTCTCCTCCTCCTTCGAGTGGTGGCGTAACCAGAGGTGAAGTCCTCCACCCTCTGGTTCGGTTGCGGTGGCAGGGGGGCATCCATGATGGCCGCCGCCGTGGAGTAGAGCCCAGGCATGTGGTCCAGCGGGAAGCGGTCCGGCTCCGGGTTGGACACCACCTCGTCCAGCGTGAGGAGAGAGCCGACCTCCGACACCTCTCCGTCCTCGCAGTCACCCCACTCAGCGGGCACGGGTGGAAGGTCGAGGGGGGCCCAGTCAATCGCAGACTCCTCGTCCTGAGAGGAGTCCGGACGGGGCGCTGTAGCGGCGAAGAACGCGCGCCTGCGTTCACTCTCCTCCCTGGGGAGAGCGAGACACGAGGCGCAGGTGGCGCTCAACGCCGCATGGCCCGAACCCAGGCACACGAAGCAGCTGGAGTGCTGGTCCTTGCGCTGGAGCTTGACCCGACAAGTCGAGCAACGACGACGTCCGACGCCGGATGGCGAAGGGGAACTCGGACGAGCATCAGAAGACATCTTTCCTCAGGTAAATTGAAAAGTAGATCTCAATTGGCGCCAGAGTGAAAGAGGGGGCCCCTCTTTCAAATGCCCCTGCCTTGTGCAGGGGCATTTATAGAGGAAGGTGGCTGGTGATTGGAGCAAATTATTTTGATCTCTCTGGCGTGTGACCTGAGAAGTTGAGAATAATAGCCATACAACAGTGATATCCTTTTTTGCCGAGACAAGAAAAGCAACTCATGTTTATGCCTTTATGGCTTCGAAAGAGCGTATTTTATTACATGCTTCACCTTCATTGCAATGTCAATGTTCATATATTGTTTGTTTGCAGGGAATTTACTGGTGATTGCCTTTGTGAGTTATTTTGGAGCCAAACTTCACCGACCAAAGATCATTGCACTGGGATGTGTCCTCATGTCGTTCGGGACCTTCCTGATCGCTATGCCTCATTTCTTGATTGGCAGGTGGGTGGGTGCAGGGCTCAAACTTTAGTTATGGATGCGACCTTGGATGTGACCAAATCTAATACTCTACTCTCTTTGTACTTAATCAACAGCTACAAGATCCACACAGCAGTCAGACCCTCGCTCAATTCATCCTCTGTTCTTTCCCCGTGTTCACCTGGCCCACCTGACTCAGCCATGACAGGTACAGCCCCCCCTAAAGGCGAACATTGGGATTGCATCATATTTTCACTGTACATTTGCATCCACGTCCAGGTTGTGAGCGCGAGTCCAGCGTCTCCATGTGGATCTATGTGTTTTTGGGAAATGTCCTTCGTGGAATTGGAGAGACACCAGTCCAGCCGTTAGGAATTTCTTACATCGATGACTACGCTCGGTCAGAGAATGCGGCTTTATATATTGGTGCGTCCATCTGTCTTCATTTGGGGAGACAATATATAGTCTTTGGCATCTCCATGGAGACACTTCTACTGCTTTTTATATATTTTATTAAGTATTGGCAAACCTTTCCTCACACCAGCCTGCTGTTAAGGGCTAGATCTAATTTTTAATGTTTTATTCAGGCTTTTTCCACTCAAATTCTGTATATTGTTAAATATTTTATACTAAAGATTATATTCTATATGACGGCACTGCTCTGCACATGCGAGAGGCTCAGGGGGCTAATAGAAGCGTCCAAAGGGCTGTATTTGGCCCATGGACCACTGAGCAAGGGTAATAAATTATGCTGGTAATTTGTCACAAGCACAATACAATGTTTTGTCAAGAAAAAAAGAAAAAAATCATTAAATATTGGTTTTTCCAGGTTGTGTCCAGACAATATCTGTAATAGGTCCAGTTTTCGGATACCTCCTTGGTTCCTTATGTGCCAAAATCTACGTGGATGTTGGCAATGTGGACATGGGTAAGAAGCTAAACTCTCTGTAATGTTGTGTTTTAATATAAATGGGACTTATCCTTGAATTTGCCAAACTAGAAACTGTGACCATTACCCCTGGAGATGCCCGCTGGGTTGGGGCTTGGTGGCTGGGCTACATCATCACCGGAGTGGTCACCCTCATGTCAGCTGTACCTTTCTGGTTTCTGCCCAAATCTCTGCCGGTCCCGGTGGAAAAACACGACTCCAGCTGCAGCCCGGAGCAAACGCGCTTCATTCAGCACTCCCCGCGCATGCAGCACAAGTTCAGACAGGAAGAGCCGGTCAACCTGCAGCAGATGGCCAAAGGTCAGTTGGCGCTTTTTGGTTTGCTCCTGTTGAATGCCTACGTTTGGTTTACCGTATTGACATTATGTGGATTTTATTTCTATTTATCCGATTTATTACTTTGTTGGTCCTTTGTCAACAGCAAAAACATATGAGAAGAATAATTCAATATCCAAAAAAGTGACTATTCCACAAATGTAAAGCATGAGCAGTGAACAATAAATAAAATAAAAACGTAACTTTAGCATAATAAAGAATTAAGTGTTGTTACGACCCGGCTCAGCTTAGGTGTGAGGATAACCAAGATGATAGAATGGTAACTAAAATCATAATTTATTAGATGACAAAATAGGTAAAAAAGGTAACAAAATAGGATTTAATATCTACAAAACACACAGAAGAGTAAGCAATTGTCAAAACTAAAAGTGTTATCTAAACTAAAGTGTCTTAACAAAAACTACACACGTCACTGAACTAAAGGGCCGGCACGAGTGACAGAACACAGACAAGACTTATTGGCAAACTGGAGCCTGGAGATTGGCAGAATAAATGGGCGGGTCCTCAAGGTGACTGGAGGACCGCCTCAGCTGCTGCCCAATCAGCACCCAGGCATCGCAGTCAATCAGCTCCAGGTGGGGAACGACCGGCCAATCGGAGCTCAGGACTCACGAGTGTGGTCTACTGTAAAGGGAGGAAAACACAAACGCACAAACAACACAGGATATGCTAAAGTAATCCCCAAAACAGGAAATTACGGCCGTGGGTCGTAACAAAGTGTAAAATCTTACTAACTTTTATGTATTTTTTTATAGAATATGTGTTCATGCTATAGAACAGGATTTGTCCTCAAAGTTTTCATTCCAACCAAGCAGGAGCACCCCAGACTCCATCCATATCCTCCCAAAGCCAGTCCAGTCTTAACCTGAAAACTTAAGGAAATGGGTGGAGTCTGGTCTGCTCTTGATTGGTTGGAATGAAAACCTGCAGCCACGACGGTCCAATTGTCACATTTGTCCAAGCGTGCCTTAATTCGAAACTATATTATTCCACAGATTTCATCCCCACCTTAAAAAGTCTGCTCGGAAACCCCGTCTACGTCCTCTACCTGTGCGTGACGATTATCCAGTTTAATTCCCTCATCGGAATGGTCACGTACAAACCCAAATACATCGAGCAGCACTACGGCCTGTCCGCGTCCAAGGCCAATTTCCTCATGGGTAAGACTTCCATGGTTTTTTTCTTTCGTGGCCCTGTTTAAGGATGCAGACAGAGATGTGTGGGCAGCGTCTGTGTGCTCCGGGCTTCTCTCTGATGGATGTTTTCAGCTCACACTTTGAAATAGATGCCACACGATTTGGATGACTGACGACTTTTTTGGCTCACACTGACAGCATGAGTGCGGTCCTAGTTTTAACCACATATTTTTGTTACTTTATTATGTTATGTTAATTAGTCCACACTTTTTTGTTCATGTTATATAAAGCAAAGCAAGACGTATTTTCTTGTATTACTTTTGGCCCACTATCCGTCCCTTGTGCAAAGAAAAAAACCCAAAAACAAAAACAGACAAAACAAATGATATATTATTTATGTCACCAGTATAACATAAAACATATATCATAAAATAACAAAATGTGGTATATTGGCTTTTTCAGTCTATCGTCTACTGCATCCTCTTTTTTATGTATTTATTTGAAATTTGTTGATTTTTTTATTCTTTAAAACATTTTTTTATCTCTATTCTTACTTTTCACACAATAAACACAGGCATAAACATTATATTCACAATGTTTATACACATAATTATTACATTTACTGTTTAAAAATGTATTCTATTTGAAGTACTATTAGTCGTTTCTTAAATCTGGGGTGCTGCTAACTCGTTTCTTGCTCTTGGGTTCTATCACCAGTTTTCACATGCATTTATTATTTTCTCCTTTCAGAGAGAAAAGAGAAGACTATTCTCACTCAGCCAATCAACTCAAAGTGTCAAATAGTGACTCACTGCAGGGCTCTTTCTTAAAATATGCAATAGATAACATGTTTTATGATACCATGAAGACGGCACAATGTGGTCTTAATCGTTCATTTTTACTTTTTGTTTGTCTGTTGGGACAAAAAACATGTGTTATTTTCAGTGATGGGAATAACGCCGTTACTTTTTTTCAGTAACGAGTAATCTAACTAATTATCATTTCCGACATCCCGTTACTGCGCGTTACTCAAGACGCACAATGAACGTGTTGTCATGAGAGAAGGGAGCATATTTCCTTTACAATCCACATGTCTACAGTTGAGAGGATGGCTCATAAATTGTGTTTTTGAAACAAATATGGGTCTTAATCGCGCTCAACCACGGCTTGTATCACCGTGAGGTCAGCCACAGAGTAGCGCATGTGAGCTCAGAAGTCGGCTGCATACAATTCCATCGATAAGCTCCTTGCTCTTCCTGGTTTATCTGCTAAGGACAGCAACAGGTTTGGCTAACATACATATAACACATTTTTACATAATCTAAAATGCACATAGGGTAATTTTTCAATTACTATAAGAATGATAAGAAAGAGAGGTGAAGTGTAAGACGGTTGATTTTAGAAATTGGATGCACTCGGCTGCCGCTAGCAAAACACAGGAGTTTATGGAGGACACACGCGTTTTGTTTTACTTTTTAAAACTCATTGGACTCATTTCCAAATGGAGGATTACATATCTACGCTCAAACCATTAACTGGATTTAAACAAGGAACTGGTCTGAACCGAAGTGGACTGTGCAGGTCATTTATAAGGTATAGCTATAAGGTAAGACCCATAACTCATGGTTTTGCGTTTTGTATGAACAAACAATGCGGGCATGAATCATATTCTGCTGTAGCCAAACAAAATGTCCACTTGATTTATATGATGTATATGTTCATCTGATTGGACTGAAGTCAGTGCTTCACCAGCCTCACCGCTCGTCACCGGTGTTTCCACATTCACAGTGGAGCGTGTTGGTGTTTAGTGCTTACAGCACAGAGACAGATGAAGAGTGAACAGGACTTCAGCAAAACAGCCTTTTCTAGATGGAAATATTGGCACTGTTAAAGGTAAAAATGCGCACGCCGGGTGCACATTATGTTCCAGAACAAAACGAAAAAGTAACGCAATAGTTACTTTTACTGGTAACTAGTTACCTTTATAGTGGAGTAACTCCGTTAGTAACTCAGTTACTTTTTGGGAGAAGTAACTAGTAACTATAACTAATTACTTTTTCAAAGTAACGTGCCCAACACTGGTTATTTTAGAGAAACTTAGATACCCCAGCTTTAACTGCACATTCATGTTTATGTTATACACACATTATAGTACATCCTGTGTCTTTTCATTGACGGCAGGCATCATTAACATCCCCGCTGTGGCTCTGGGGATGTTCTCTGGAGGGCTGCTCATGAGGAACTGTAAGCTGGGCATTATGGGAGCAGCCAAGTTCGCCTTCGGCACCTCCCTGCTGGGTTACTTTCTCTCACTGTTCTTCTTTGCCATGGGCTGTGAGAACGCCAAGGTGGCTGGTGTCACCGTTTTATACACTGGGTAAGTCTGTTCGATGTTGAGTTTGGAAGTGAATGAATAAATTAACACCAACTGCAATGCACAGGTCAGTCTTGCTGTTATAGAAATCCTTTTGACACAAAAACAAAACAAAAAGAGTAAAGCTTATCTGCTCACTATTACGAGCAATAGAAAGAGGGCTAGGACCCAATGAAATGATGCTGCATACTGTCAAGTTATTCCTCATGCATATAACACGACTAATATTGGATTTCTCTTAAAGTGAACAATGCATTATTACATCCCTCTATAAATTCATTTTCGAGCTGAGCCTCATTTCTAATGCACTACATAGAGCTCTTTTATGATCTATTTTTCATTTCCACAGTCAATAATATATGCCTTGTTATGTTGCTTTGTGCAGTGCAGAAAGCTTGTCCTACCAGGAACGCTCGCTCTTCTCTGAGTGTAACTTGGGCTGCTCGTGTTCCAGGAGAGACTGGGACCCAGTCTGTGGCAGGAACGGCATCACTTATGTTTCTCCATGTTTGGCTGGGTGCACCGCCTCATCAGGCTCCGGCAAAAACACAGTATGTTCAAAATATAATATAACAATATATAATCTCAATACTCACTGCATAGCAACAATACAATGGCAAATCATAATAATCTTTATTCATTAAGAACCTTTAACACAAAGCATAAAAAACAAGTTAAAGGAAGGTGTTTTTAAGAAGTGGTGTAAAAGAGTTTACTTAAATACTGTATCAAATATACATATATTATGTATCGATGTAAGCTTTTAAATAAGATAAGCTGGATTGTTGAATTATAATTTACAATAGCTGTGTTGATGCCTTTCTTCAACTATAGACTTCCTATATATGGCCATGACATTTATGTTGATAATTTATGATAACAAGCAGGCTCCTGCTCTCCTGCTACGCTGAAACCCTCTGAGTAACTCTCTAACCTATACTCTCCCTGTAAACACACAGTGCCATAGGTTCTCCTCCTCCTCCTCTCTTTGTGCCTGTGCAGGTGTTTGAGAGCTGCAGGTGTGTGGCTGCAGCAGGGGCCCTCCCGGAGAACCTCACAGCCTCTCTGGGACAGTGTCCGCGGGGCGACAGCTGTGAGCAGGTCTTTCCTTACTTCCTGGCGCTGTCAGTGCTCAGCTCCTTCATCATCTCACTGGGAGGAACGCCAGGCTTCATGCTGCTAGTCAGGTGACACAACTACCACAAACAATGGACTAATAGCTAATGTTCAAGCTTGTGTTCAAATTGGCTTCTTCCTTATTTGGCAAACGCTGTGGATGACATCAGTCCACTCCTAATGTCCGGTCTATGTTGTTTTCTCTCTTGGAATCCACCTGCCAGACCAATTACTGAATATATCCTATGTGAGGCAGCAAGTCTAACCACAGTAAGAATACATTAAGGTAACTCATTACTGAAGCCAGGCAAAAATGTTTGATCCCACACTATTGGACATATAGGAAAAAGCAAATGCATTTCCTTAGAACAGGGGCTTTTAGTAAGAGGGCCACTTTAGTTCACCGGACCAGGTTTAATAAATGAAAACAGAATAAAGGCAAAGTACAGGCTGAGCTTCATAACCTGGGGCTCCTGCAGGATGGCAATGATGGGAAGACAAAGAATGAACCCCAAATGTCCCAAACACAATTTATGAAGACACATACGTAGAACTTAGAATAGCAGACACTACATTGTCTTTATGATCTCAAAGAGTACTCTCAGTTTGCAAGGCAGAGGGCCACATAAATTGACATGGAGAACGGCATTTGGCCCACAGGCCTTAGTTTGGACATGCCTGCCGTAGACGATAGGCAGACCAGAACTTACCGTGCATTGAAAACAAGTTGCATTTTCCTGAAACATAAGATCACATGACTGACTTCCTTATAGACTGGAGGATACTTATCTGCTAACCTTAAAAAGCATGGCACTTTTTTTGCTTTGTGCAGTGCCAGATTTATGCACGATAAGGTTAAACTCAGGCCGTTCCTGTGCCTTTTTCCTTTTATGGCGCTATACTTTTACATGCGTGTTTCTTTATCTTGATTAAATGCTGTCTTTTGTTTGTTCTAATATAGATGCATAAAACCTGAGCTCAAATCCTTCGCTCTTGGAATCCACACACTGGCCACTCGGACTCTGGGTAAAACTATTTATTTTTCAGAGGTTATAAATATAAATGGTTCAGGGTTAGAGTCAGTTCACTGTTAGTCATTAGTGCTGGTATACATTATTTGACAAACTTGTGTTTTTAATGCTGACGCAGCGGGAATACCTGCCCCTATATATTTTGGAGCCATAATTGACTCGACGTGTCTGAAATGGGGGTACAAGACGTGTGGGGGAAGAGGAGCCTGCCGTATTTACAACACCTCTGCGTACAGGTAACTTCCACTGTTTTATTCATTAAGATTAAGAGATCCTTCATTTGTCCCACAGTGGGGAAATTTCAGTGTTGCATCACCAGTTATAGAACAGAAGTATCTATTTAAAGTATTATGGTATATTTTATATGCGTTCTCCATGTTTTGTCGTAATAATTACATAGTTTCTACCACGACGGCAAAAAGGAGTAGCTCTCTTCTGTTGCATAAAAGCAGCTCTCCGATTGACAAGGGTGGAGACTCCTGCTCTATACTAAATAAGATAGAAATAAAAATCTCTAACTTTAGCAAGAAGAAGAAACAAGTATAAAATCTCTATCTTTAGCATATAAGTATAAAGTACTGTGTATTCTTGTGCAAGTAATAGAGTTGTATGTTTACATCTGTGCATGTTCGCAGCACAAGGGTCTGGGACAAAGTGACTCAGTAAAGTGACAGTGGACACAAGTGGTTCTATATTGCACATTCTGACATTATTAAAGTTATTATTGCACAGATGAGTAAGTAAAGTATAGTGACAGTGGACACATGTGGTTCTATATTGCACATTCTGACATTTTTAAAGTTGTTATTGCACAGATTAGTAAGTAAAGTAAAGTGACAATGGACACATGTGGTTCTATATTGCACATTCTGACATTATTAGTTATTATAGCACAGATGAGTAAGTAAAGTGACAGTGGACACATGTGTTCTATATTGCACATTCTGACATTATTAAAGTTATTATTGCACAGATGAGTAAGTAAAGTGACAGTGGACACATGTGTTCTATATTGCACATTTGGACATTGTTAAAGTTATTATTGCACAGATGAGTAAGTAAAGTGACAGTGGGCACATGTGGTTCTATATTGCACATTCTGACATTATTAAAGTTATTATTGCACAAATGAGTAAGTAAAGTGACAGTGGACACATGCGGTTCTATATTGCACATTCTGACATTATTAGTTATTATTGCACAGATGAGTAAGTAAAGTGACAGTGGACACATGTGTTCTATATTGCACATTTGGACATTGTTAAAGTTGTTATTGCACAGATGAGTAAGTATAGTAAAGTGACAGTGGACAAATGTGTTCTATATTGCACATTCTGACATCATTAAAGTTGTTATTGCACAGATGAGTAAGTAAAGTAAAGTGACAATGGGCACATGTGGTTCTCTATTGCACATTCTGACATCAGTTCAAGATATTGCACCGATGCATCCTATTGGGGGCACACCGACAACACTTCTTTTCCCTCTTCCAGGATCGTGTACCTCAGTCTGACGTTGGGCTTACGGACCGTGTCTTTCTTCTTGTGCATTTTGGGCTTTGGCATTCTCAAAAGACAGATTAAAATGGAGGAGAAAAGCGCTCTGGCCAATGGGAACGCAGAGCAGGAATGTCTTAAGAAAGAGGAGAGTGGCTCAGGTCAGTGTGAACAGTTTATTTTGGCCTTGAACTCAAACTCCGACAGAGAAACGCGATTGTGACTAAATGTTGCACTGCACTGTTCCTCTCTGATATGAAAAAAGCATCTGGGATTTCTACAGGAACGCACACTTTTACTCAAGCACAGGCTTTATATATTTGTACAGAAGTTTCAAATTTTCAAAACAATGAATTTTTCAACATGTGACTTTGAAGGAATATCATGTGTTTGTAGATTTATAATGTGACATGCGTTTTGTACGATGTTTGTTGTTTTTACATTTTAACTGATTAAAATGTTACCGTACTTGTTTCAACTGTATTGAATTAGTGTGAATGGGCGAGTGAAGTGCACACAGAGAATCGATTATTTGAAGGCCAAAAATTAGATTAGGGACGGGGAAATGTCAAACTCTCAAGAATCTGCATCATAATAGTATTTGTATAACCTAAAGAACAAACCAATGCCTTCTCACGGTGTATGTGAATTCATTAACTCAGGTCTCTCATTTCTGAGTCATGCAGAACCATCTGTTGTGAATGATCACCAGCAGATTCCAATCAACCCTTTCGCCGCAAAAAGTGATGAAAAATAAGTTCAAAATTGCTCAAATTTGGCTAAAATTATCTTGATTTGAGCACATTTTTACTGCCCTATAACAAGATTGGCCAATGAGACAAAGCAAAATGATCATGTTTTGCAAAGATACAAGAAATGTCTCCCTTGGAATGAGACAATAAAGTGGTTTTTGACATAAGACGGTATGGCTTTGACCCTTTGGCAAATATTGTTTTGAGAGAGTCAGAATATACTGAAATTAAGATAAAAACAAGTCGATCCAAGCAATTATAACCTCATATTTAATCATCTTTTGTAGTGTTGAAGTTTCCTTTTCAAAACCATTCAAAGTTCATGAAAACTCTTAACTTGAAGATGCTTGGAATAGAAAACATTTAATACAACAACCAATTATCCAGATTTTAAAAGATATCATTTTTTCCCTACAACATAGTTACAAAATTGGACAGAAGTCACCTGCTTTCATAAACAATTACACATCTGATGATATAAAAATACACTTCAAAGCTATGACTCAGTTGTCCTTTTTGTCTGAAGCACTTGGTTGATTCTGCAGAGTAAAAAAACACAGATCAGGACTTGTCTCTTGGTGCAGACTCAGTTTTTTTTTTTTTTTTTACCTGGAGCTGATGATGTTCACTCAGAAGTCTGTCGTACTCCTGAGCCAGACCTTTGGCCTGTCTCTTCATGGCCTCCACCTCCGCCTGGGATCGGTGCACAGCTGCAGAGACCAGAGGAACACAGTAATATACTCAATACATTCTGCACATAAACACAATACTGTTCTTTTTCCTTTGTTGCATGCAGCAGAATAACATCATTTTCCTAAAATCTCTGGAGATAATTGTCAATCTATGTTTCTATTCTCACCACTGAACTCAAAAGAAGAAGAGTGAGGTGGTCCTGGTGAGCACTCCAACCAGGAAGTTGGAGAATGGTGAATATTCCGGAACTTATAGCATACTGAACTGGTACAATATCAACTTTAAATCAATGTTTATTGTTATTTGAGCGCCTTTCCTTCACACGGCAACACCAAGCGACCCATATCACATCAGGCATAAATCATAAACATTAAAATCTACACGAGCATTAAAAGATACAGTTAAATGGCATAGGATATTTAAAAAAAAAACATTAAGATCACAAGAAACATTAAAAACATAAAAAATAAAATCACACATGGGAATATTGTAGCCACAGTGCATTCAAAGGATAAAAATCCCTCAGTTGTATGTTGTACTGTTTTCAACCTGAATTTGATAACTGCCAGATCAGAAGCCTGTCTCACATTTTCAGGAAGACTGTTGCAGATTTTGGCGGCATAAATCTGAAATGCTTCCTGCCCATGTTTAGTCCTGACTCTTGGAACCTGCAAAAAGCCAGTCCCTGTGCTCCTCAGAGTCCGAGCCGCTTCATATGGCACCAACATGTCACAGATGTACTTTGGTGCGGAGCCAGTATAATAGATGAAATATTGTGTAAGAACTCGAGGACATGATCCCATCTAATTCTCGCAACAAGAATGAACTTTCTAAGATGAATTTGGTTATGCTTTGCCATCCATGACGGACATTCCTCAAACGTACCATCATAAAAGTCAAACAAGTATAGTTACAGTCGCTCACCTGAGTCAGCAGTCTTAAGCTGAGTTTCAAGCTTCTGAATGTCCAACTTTAGCTGCTGGTTTTTGGCTTCTACCGTTTTCTCTTCATCAAGCAACGTCTAAGAACAAAAAACAAATTATAGTATTGTCAGTTCCACCTTGGACTCTTAATCTACATATAATCTGGGTTGATGTTAATTTCTCACTTGTCTAAGCATCTTGTTGTCCTCTTCAAGCTGTTTTGCCGCATCAGCCATATTGTGCATTTGTGTTTGAATAGCTGCACTGTCCTCTGTACTCACTGCAACTTGATTTAACAAGGTCACAACTCTGCGCATCACTCTGGAATATGCATGGAATAAGAAGCAAGTACACGGTTAAATTGCATTAGGTGTGTCTGGTTATAAATGCAGACGAAACAAAGCACCAACAGCCAAAGGAAGAGGGAGAATCCGGAGATGTAGAGGTTTCGTTGAGCCCTGAACAGTTTCATGTGCACGTGGTCGTACACGTTGGGGTTGACCTTGGCGTCCTGCATGGGCTCTGGACCGGAATATTTCTGCACCTCACGGACTGCATCTAAAAATTGGCAGAAATATACACATTATCTATTATGTATGGTGCTGAGAATGTGTTACACTAGATTTTACAAGCAGCAGATTGTGTGACTGTGGCCTACCCAGAAACAGGACAATAAGAACCATGATCATAGTAAAGAAGCATTTGTTCCAATAGGGGCTGAGCCAGTTCCAGATCCCCCAGCTGAAAACTCGCCTCCACCTGAAAGTAGGTTAAACAGGACACTCACACACAGCTTATAGATTACAGTGAGGATGTGTGCGCCCTCTGCTGGACTGATGTAAACTGATCTCAAGCGCCAAGATACTGGTTGTGAAATGAAAATCAAAAATATAATACAATAGACAACAAATTGCTCCTATTTAATAACATATTTTTGACAAACTCATGAGAGATCCTGAAAACAATCAAATCGTTACAATAAAAATGTGATTTAAGTTGGATCCCATTTATAATCTTTGCAGAGCAGAGGGAGTCCATTAGTGTGTCACAAAGACATGCAGAGATAATGTAATGTGTTTGATATCTGTGGTGAAAAAAATTAAAAATAACACTAGGAAAATTAGTTCTTAATAGTATTTACCTTTTAGCAGATATAAATGGTATACACAATATGACGTTCGCGATAACTTCTGCATATAGAAAAAATGCCACAGCAGTCCACTGGAGAGTCATTATGACAGTAACCTGTAAATATGAAGGACATCTTTAAGAACATTTATGGACATTTGTTAAAACCAGTTCTCATATGGCTACTAATGACTGGTATTTGTTTTATTAAGGGATCCTTTATTCGTCCCACAGTGGGGAAATTTCAGTGTTGCATTACCAGTTACAGAAAAGTATAGGAATGCATTCAATAACTATGCTAAAATGATAATAAAAAAACTCTAGCTTTTGCATTGTTAATAAGCAAGTATACATTTTCTAGCTTTAGCTTAAAAAGGAAGCACATCCAAAATCTCCAACTTAATAATGAATAAAAACTATTTACTTGAGTTTAAATTATCTGCTTAATGTTTTACTTATTCTATTTTTTGTATGAATTTATTTATTATTAAACGTAAAACTGGCAAACCTGTATATTTAAACCTGTGTTACTTGTATATCAGTGCAGCACTTTGGAAACTTGTTTTATTAAATGTGCAACATAAATAAAGTGGATTGGATCTGCTTTTGGTAAATCAACAATTATATCAAACCCCTCAAGGCAACTGCTGTAGTGATTTTGTCATTTAAGTTACAGAAATAATCTTTCTTTGCTTCTTGCTTTCTTACCTGCTGCTATGTTTTCATTAGTGAGTAGATGCATGGATCTATTATGGAAGATTCAGGCTACAAACAGCTAAATAAGGACACGAAACAGCCTAGTTTATATGTAGCATTCAGTATCAAGTCTAAAAGTACAGTGATACATTAGTAGACTGATTCTGAAGAATATGGATAATAATAATAAAAACTTATCCCACACATGCCTGAATATAGATAGTTGAGTTGTTATCTTACGTGCCAGAGCAGAGCAGTGTTGGAGAGAGTCTAAACAAGTGCACATAGAACAGCTGCTGTGAGGCTAAAGACAGAAATAAAACGCCATCTGACTCCACTGGTAAGTCCCCCTTGGAAATGGAAATAGACAAAATGTTATACTGCATTTTATTTGAAAGAAAAAGATAAATGACAACTTTCACTTTTAAGCACTATGCTCCCACGTGTGCATTAGCTGTAGAAATATGTGTTTTACTTTCCTGCTATCAATATTAGTGACGACGTTTTAGAATTGTTATAACAACTTTTTATTTAGTAGTAGGCCTACAACTATGTATGTATCATAGACTGTATATATTAATATGTATGGACAGACAGCATGAATACCATTCTTGCTTCCAAGAAGGTCCAGGGTTCGAATCCCGGTCGGAACAGGGCCTTTCTGAGTGGAGTTTGTATATTCTTCCCGTGTCTGCGTAGGTTTCCTCCGGGTGCTCCAGTTTCCCCTACCACTGAAAACATGTGCAATAGTTCTGTATGGCGACCCTGCCTGCTCCCATCTCTGTGGATGATGCTTTAACTCTTGTCTGTGAAAGGTGCTATATAACTATCGACAATCTTTTTGGTATAAGTGCGTCTAAGTGATAAAACACCATCTGACTCCACTGGTAAGTCCCCTTGTAAATAAATATGGACAAAATGAATTACTGCATTTTATTTGAATGAAAAAAAACAAATGACAACTTTCACTTTCACTGTCAATAGGTAATATGGCAGGTTTAATGTCTAACGCTATGATACATTTGTTCAAATTAAATGTCCTATTTCTTGAGTGAAAGTGATCAAGAGAACTCAATGGAGGTTATGATTGTCCATACTTGCAAATTGAAGCCACTTGAATCCTGAAGGTGAAAGAACTTCTCCATAATCTAGATGTCATGTACTATGTTTCATCAATTCAGCTATATCCTGGTTATGGCTTTTTCACCAAAATACAGTGTGTGTTCAAGGAAACTTCTATGTATATTCACATTTTTTGACCCATAACTCTCTGAAAACGTGCTATCTTTTACATTCCATATCATATTTTGATGTATTCGACGCTTAGGTCTTCACTTTTCTGCCTGAAAAAGCTGATCTAAAGACGTGGCAAAGAGTGATATATTTGTTGTTTGAGAGAGACATACTCCAGCTTTAAACACTAACAAAAACATTGAAATCTTTATATATGCATATTTTTGAAAATGGAAAGCAAATTACAACATCCACTAGAGGGCGATATATCCTTGCAAAAAAGGATTTACTATTCCGCTTCATATTAGCTGCATTTATCCCAAATCTGACAGGGTGTTTTTAGGGGTCAGCTTCAGACGTAGCCGTTTCAAACTGGTTTCAAATGTAGACTTTTGCCAGACTTTTGTTAAATAGGTCTAAAATTATTTGGCATCGGTAAAACAACTACACATTTTTCCCAGCAGAGGGCGCCACCTTATCGAAGTCTTACATAACCCACATATGGCCTTGTTTGCTGTGGACTTCAGATCTATGTATTTTAGGCATTGTTGTGCTGGCAACTAATAGCTTGGATATGGCGGCACATTGAGCTGGATATAAATAGCTTGGGTCTTACTGGAACTCCAAACAAAGGCTCAGACATTTATTGAGTCAATAGAAAGGGTATTTATCTATAGACACAAGATGAAAGAGGGGTATTTTCAAACACCTGACTAAAGGATCCCGTCCTGCACCACGCCTCCATTGCCAGTCTCCGCATCTGTTGAATTCAGACCCTATTGCTTTAGTGGATTGTGCCCCCCGCCGCGTTTCAACTCATTCATCTCCTCTGAAAAGAAACTGATATGTGCCTGTGCTTTTTGCCTCGCATGCCTCAGGAGTGTGTCGGAGAGGAGAATGTTTACAGCTGATAGCTTTTGGAGAGCTGGGGAAGAGAAGATGACGGGTGGAGAGTGAATGCGCTTTGATTGCTTCGCTTCTCTTCTCCATCCGCGGCTGAGGACTGAGGTCACGGCTCAAGGGACCAGCCGGGGCCGTCATTACACCCAAATGCTGGCAATAAGCAGATGGTCAGGCGGAGGTGATTGTACGCTGGCCCCGGTGTGCTAACCTGAGAGGGCCTGTTCATTTTTCAAGCCTGTGTCACAGTAGTACATTCACCTCTGGGCTCCCCAAGACATTGGATACATCTATTGCATAAAATTGTTACGTGGACCTATTGTGAGCAGCTTCAGACCATTTTTCTTTCGTTTTGACTGGCCTTCAGGGTAGGTTTTAGATCAGGCATATCAAACTCAGGTCCTTTGGCCCACAAGACCATAGTCAGTGGCCCCTGATATGATTTCCTATTATCATTACTACACTAACTTGCAGCATTGATGGTAAAGGGATGGCATGTTATACTTCATTTTACAGCTCATTATCTCGGGAAAACAACCGTATCATTGAATATGTTCAAAAAGGTAATTAAAAGTTATAGTTACTGCATGCATTATTATTATTTTATATACTATCAATCTTACAATATATCTCTTCTTGATATTTTGCACATCTAGTAGAATCCAAACATCCATCTTCTTCCCCTTAATTCATTTCTGGGTGGAGGGGTTGCAGTCAGAGCTTACCCCAATTCACAGAGCGCCACCCCCTCACTGATCTTCCTGCAGGTGGTGAGTTCCCAGGAGGATAACTGCCCTGTCTGTGACAGAACAGCCTTGATCTTTCAGCAGGGGCTTCAGGCCAAACAGGGTTAAGTGTCTTGGTCTCATGGTGCCCACAACCCTCAGGCCCAAAAGGCCAATGCTTTACCAACTGAGCCACTGTCACCCTGAGAATTCAAACATAATACAAAATAATATCCAAACTCATGTCAAATGCAATACATTTGTCAAAAGACAAAAATTTGAAGAAAATAATATATACCACTTTTAGAGTTTTGGCCCCAACCAGCTCTTATGTTTTTAAACTTGGCCCCCGAACAAAATAAGTTTGACACCCATGTTTTAGATTATTAAAGCTGGGGTAATGTTTTCAAAAATAACATATGGCGCTATAATAATATGTTACTATAATAATATGTTACTATAATAATATGTTACTATAATGATATGTCGCTATGATATTACAAACAATATTGTCTTCATTTGGGCAGAAAGGACTTTTATTGTTCAGTGAAACAAGACAAAAAGATCTTGTTTAACTTAAGCAAACAAAAACTTGCACCTGAAATAAAAAAGTACTTACTCTACTCATACTCATACTCTTCTCAAATCAATAAAACATGATTGTAATGTGAAAGCTACTTTGAACTCATTTAAAAGTGTTATAATAACAGAAAGAATAATGATAGATATTTATTAACCCTTAACAATAAGTATACACTACTTATTGAAAGGTGCTGTATTAGGTTGTTTTGACTTTTCTCTAGTTTCAACATGATTCCAGTGCTGTTTGGACTTTATACAAATGCCCAGAATAGATTTTTCATGATGTAATAGTAAAACTTTACATCTTCACTTAAGATAAGATAAACCTTTATTTGTCCCGCAGTGCGGAGATGTCGACGTTGTCATCGTGGACATTACAGCAGAATAAAAGGAGGTTGATTCAACAGACACATTCATTTGAGCTGACTTTCCCACTCAGGTTTAGCTTTAGCAGTTGTAATTCAATAATATGAGTCTATGAACGTAGTCTCAACATGAATAAACATCAGTTACAGTATCAGCTGAGTGTAGTTCAGTCACAATGATACATGGCTCAAACTGCATTTTCACAGAACCTCAAGACAAAAGCTCCTGGACTTCTTCATGAAGACGTCAGTCCCAGAGATCAGCAGCAGAAGAGTTGATATCTCTGTGTTTATTATTGGGAGTAAGTCAGTTAAAATAACTCATTTGTTCATGGCCGTAAACATGGACTTTATAACCAAAAATTGCTCTAAATTATGGTTTGATATTTAAGAAAGTAACTTACATTACTTTTGGATGACTTAAGTATCTAAACATTTCTGAACATTACTTGTTCAAAGTGACATACCCAACACTGCTTACATCTTGCCTTAAAACTCCTGATACACACTTCTCTGGGATTTCTAATGGAAAATATACTTCTGTAACCGGAGTGACTGACAAGTGGGCGGGACCTGTTGCTCGATACCACAGTCTGTAATCATTTTGAAATGTTCTTTTTTAGCCAATAATCATCCATTTTACTAAAACAAACCATATGTAGTCCTGTTTTTGTGCATGTTTGGAGTATTGATAATAGTTCAAATGATTATCCAGTTTTGATACTGGTTTTAGTCTTGTTTAAATATCTCACTTTTCATACTTATGACATCTTCTAATTGTTACTGTGGGGAGTTTATCTGCTCTGAAGTGCTTCCTCTCTGTTAGAGAGCCGGAGTTCTGCGTCAGTGAATCAACAGTGTTTAACATGAGCCACACCAGGACATCATGTGAAATATTTGTTTGCTCATCAGATCGATTACACACTACTGCAGCCCAGTCAGAGCCAGCCCCTCCCCTCTTCTTTCAGGGCAGGCGAACAATCGGAGCTGGAGGGCACCAGTCTCTGCTCTCTCACACACACACACACACACACACCACACACACACACACACACACACACACACACACACACACACACACACACACACATACTATAGTTGATACTGTGCCGCTGCCCCATAATAAAACACTTGGCTGTAGACACATGCTGCACGTATTCACACAGATCGAGCAGGTGCACATAAATACACAATGTAAGAAAACGCCCGGGCACACAGCCACAAAGCTCTTTTCACTGTTGCTCATTTTGGGTTCAGATTTTAACATGCTGCTTTGCTTTTGTGGCAGCCAAATGAACTACATTTCTTGTTAGGTGTAAAAGCGCACTACATCAGATGAGTGTGTAACCTTGGCACATGGGATTTTTCTTTCCATCAGAAGAAACTGCTTTTGTTAAAACGGTAACGCTTCAAGATTTCTGTGCAAAAGGCCGAGTTTTGTGATTTCATATAACAGCTACTTGTTGTGACTGTTTAGCGACACTATCTCTCTTCTGTCACGTCCTGTTTTGCTCGTCGGCACAGCGTTGTCCAGTGATGAAGTGTGGATAATGAACAAGGACAGTTCTTGTTTACCATTAAATGTCTTTCTTTCTCACCGACGAGACTCACACCGATCTGCTGCAGCCCATTGATTTAAACACACTTATTTCCTCAATAACACAGAGTGAAGCCATTTCTACAGAGGACACAGCCTCCTTCTCCCATTGCCTCCAATCAAGCGAGTGGATTGAGATTACTATTATTTTAATCAAGCGCGTCGTCTTTAAACAGGCGTGGGGGGTTGTTGATTGGGCTTTTTTTTTCTAATATCTATAATTAAGCGTAATATTGTATTGCAAAACATAATCACCATTTCGGAAGCCTCATTAATCAGTAAGTAGACCATGTACAGTGACTTCAGCGTAGACTCTCTGGTCTCTCTCTCTCTGGTCTCTCTCTGGTCTCTCTCTCTCTTGTCTGTCTTTCTGGTCTCTCTAGTCTCTCTCTCTGGTCTCTCTCTGGTCTCTCTCTCTGGTCACTCTCTGGTCTCTCTCTGGTCACTCTCTGGTCTCTCTCTGGTCTCTCTCTGGTCTCTCTCTTGTCTCTCTCTTGTCTCTCTCTCTGGTCTCTCTCTTGTCTCTCTCTCTGGTCTCTCTCTTGTCTCTCTCTCTGGTCTCTCTCTTGTCTCTGTCTCTGGTCTCTCACTGGTCTCTCTCTGGTCTCTCTCTCTAGTCTCTCACGGTGGTCTCTCTCTGGTCTCTCTCTCTGGTCTCTCACTGGTCTCTCTCTGGTCTCTCTCTGACCTCTCTCTGACCTCTCTCTGGTCTCTCTCTGGTCTCTCTCTTTGGTCTCTCTCTCTGGTCTTTCTCTCTGGTCTCTCTCTGGTCTCTCTCTTTGGTCTCTCTCTCTGGTCTTTCTCTTTGGTCTCTCTCTCTGGTCTCTATCTCTTGTCTCTTACTCTAGTCTCTCTCTGGTCTCTCTCTCTGGTCACTCTCTGACCTCTCTCTAGTCTCTCTCTCTGACCTCTCTCTAGTCTCTCTCTCTGACCTCTCTCTAGTCTCTCTCTCTGGTCTCTCTCTCTGGTCCCTCTCTCCTTTTTTCCAAGTACTTTTCAAATTACTTATTTTAGTAGTTATCAAAGACTGAAAGTAATCAAGTGTGACAGTTTGGAGGTGGAAGCATCTCTATTGGATGATGTTTGCGGATATGAAATGTCCAAATGGGAAAGAAAACTATTCCATGGAAATTACTCATTAAAACTGTGTATTTTGATTGCCATTTACTTAATTTTTGCTAAGATTTGGCAATAAAGTCACTTGGTGCGGCTTTAAATTATATAAAAGCAGTAAAAAATAAAAACATAATCAATTACAGAAAGTTATTTAATATGGGCTTTAGTATTGACTTTTTATTTCTTGCATGGGGAGGATTGTGGATCACTTTTGGAGCAACAAACCTGTTTATATAGGTGCAATATAAATAAAGTGATATTGACTTAAGTGCCTGCTTCATCCAAAACCTTTTTGAACTATCTATGTGTCTGTTATGTTGATCTGTTATATCAATCTATGTGCGGGGTCGATCTTCTGCTAAGGAGCTTGTGATTAGCGCCTGATATTTGATCTGCCTATAGATTAGGTTAGTTTATCCGTTGGTCACAATTGTAATGCCCTCCCCCCCTTTTCCCTAATTACAAGCTGCTATTTGTCATTGAGGTGCTGCCGCCTAATTCACTTTCTTCTCCTCATCCCAAGCAGTGTCCACTGACCTAATGCAATAATGGCCCCAAACAGACAGAATAATGTGATTTTCTCAGCTTTTATTCTGTGTCTGTGGCAGGAGATGGAGAGAGAGAGAAAGAGAGAGAGGGAGAAGCACGGACCCGGCATGGCGATCGGAAGAACGGCCAGTGAAGGCAATGGCCTATAATGTATGATGTGATAGACATCGCGGAGGCTTTAGGCTCGAGCAGCGGGACAGGAGGAGGACACCGATGAGTCAAGTGCTTGTAATAAGGCTCACAATGAACCCTGCTATTGACCGGCTCATCAGTCTGAGGTTAGAGGGATCAGCCGTCCGATACGCTAACCAAACACACTGACCTTGAGGTGCACACCCTTGGCAGGTCTTGTCAGCCGCCTCTATTATTTGCCATTCAGCTTCAAATTCATAGCATCGCTTTTGCTAGAGTTTTTACAAAAAACACCAAGCATTTGAGCAAATACAGATATTGCTAACGGCAAATCTAATTTACAAATCAAAGCAAAACAAAATGTCAGGGGCAGCGACCGCATTGATTTTCTGCTGCAGCGACATACAATAGGTACGCTTGCATTGTATGGCTTTTGTTAACGTTTGAGAAAATGAAGGATAGGACAAGGTTGTCATTGCACTGTCCAAATCACGTCTGAGAGGAGCACCACTCTGCACCAGGCCCCCCCTCCCCCCTCCTTTTTGTCCACAACAGACACCAGGCCATTGTTTTCTCAAACGTGTGAGACATAATGGACCCGAAAACGACCAAAGAGAAACCCATTTACAGTAAAGTAAATAATGTGATGCCGAACAGTAGAGCACACGAGTGTAGCATATGGTAGTGGCATTGATAGTCTGTGCCAAAAGTCTGCTTTGAGCTGCAGCAACCAACCCAGATTGAGTATCTGTCGCTGAGGGGGTCAATACGTCCAACATGCGCCTGCGTTGGCTGTGCTTAAAAGGCTTTTTTTTGGCTCTAGTTTGGGGCCCATGATGGAAACTAAAGAGTGACCTCCAAGTGTAGTCAGGGCCGATTGTTTGGCTCATTGAGTGCTCATTTTAGCGCGCAATCAATGCAGTGTTTTTTTTTGGTCCGGAACCCTACTGAAGCTTTGACTGGCATCTGACATTTTGAGCAGCCTGGACCGGCGGTGTTTGTTTTGTTAGTTAGACATGTCCCCTGGCTCGGGAGTTTCATCTCTTCATAGGTCACTGTCCATCGCTCTTGTCAACCCATGTGCTGTTGGCTCTGATCCCATCTCCGCTCTCAATCACTGCTCTTCCCTGGAGGCACGCAGCATGCACGCCTCTGTTTACAGCGGCGCATAAAGGATCCCCCTCTATTAATATTGTCATACGAGTCCAGAGAGCAACACACCACACACACACACGGGCAGCACACACATGAGATCAGGCCAGGTAATCACGGTGCCGGCGCGACATCCGAAGGGCTCTTCAATTCTCCCACTATAAGACAACACACTGTAATAAGCTCATTACTGGCAGTAGTGTGTGAATGTTCAGTCCGAGATGAACAAAATAGGATATAAAGCTGTGCGTAGTATGGAAATGACTTTATATGCTAATGAAGCTACACTGGTCCATATAGATGAGCTCTTTACCTGCATGATTCAAAGGGAAAAAAATAACCTGTTGAATTGGGTGAAGGCGTTATCATATATGTCTCTTCCCGGAATGATTATATACTAAAAGAAAGTATAAGGGCTTGTTGGTGTCTGCGGGAGGGCTTGAGATATGTCATTTTCCCACGACAAACACACAAACAAACAAACATTGCATCACATTAAATTGAAACATTATCAACTGTTGAGACTTGTAAACAGAATCTTTTATTTAGGTTTAAGACGTTTGCACTTGTTTATTGCAGTACTGATTTGCGTATTGTGGGAATATAGTTGCTAGACTACCATTATTAAAGTCAACAACTTTGGGAAACACTGTTTTCATCATTTTGCTATCGGGGTGTTTAATAACTTAGAAACAGAGTGTGAAAGAATGGTCTCTTTAAAGAAAAGGCTCACATTCTTTCACTCGTTGAATAAGAATACATTTGTTCCCTACTCAGCACAACAGAAATACAGACACCATAGATTTTCCAAACTCAAACATGTGACTGTAAAGTAAAACAGAGGGTTTGGATTACATCTGGAGTATGTCAAACAAAATGATGAAAACGGATGTGTGCTGTTGTGTCTGTGGAGTGTTTAGTTTAGCCCTAAACGAGTGTTAACAGCACTCAAGCTTATAAAACAGCGACTAGACGTACAGTACTACTGCCTATGACTTATCTGTTCAGACACATCTTTTGTTACATGTTGGTCTGAGGTTCATCCCCCGCTGACTTTAGGCTATAAGGTCAATGGTCACTGGGGATTGGTGTCAAAGCAACGGGCACATTGATGAATGGGAGTAATCTCACAGCTGTTACGAAATCACAAACAGTTTGTTTGGGGGAGGAGAAAACGAGAAGCCTTTTACTGCTTTAAATGAGAGAACACAAAATGTTTTATAAATAAATATCTATATATACAAATATGCAAACACTCCTCTCCCAAGTAGTGTGTATGCTATGTTTCAGATGTTGCTACGGTTACAAAAGCCATGCAGTATCTACATTATAGTATAGAGTACATCTAAGAAATCTACTTTTGATCTCAATAAATAGTAATAAATTATCCAACTTGACCTTGTTATATACAGCCTATTGCACATAATTACATTTTACTGCTTTGGATTAACATTTTCCCTTTTTCATTGTGACATAATGTCAGTGTAGCTGCTTTATTGACTGCAAACTGCATAAAGAGAGTGAATTCACTCCACATCCTCAGAAGACAGACACTTTTGTCGGGCATCTTTGTCATCAAATGTCACCTTCTTGTTCCTTTTTGGATCTATCCATGAGTTGTGGATGATGGCATTGTTTGGAGTAGGATCTGCTTCAATGATGGACACTACTCTCTTCTTCATTTTGCTTTTCAAAACTTTCTGGAACTTCTGTCTGGTGAAGGCATACAGTAATGGATGAAAGATAGTAGTTCCGTAGGCCATGACCAGGAAGCCTAGTCTGAGTTTGACCATGAGGTCACTCGGGCCCATACTCAGGATGACTGTGTTTAGCACTGTAATGGGTGTCCAGCACAGCAGGAATGTGGACACAATCAGCAGGGACATTCTGAAAACTCTCTTTTGTCGCTCCCTGCGCTCTCTATGTCTTTTCACAGCTCGACGCAATGCGATTATGACAGACACCGAGGTCCGCATTCCCAGAGTGGGGTTACGGCTGCCACTGCTCTGAGACCCGTCTGTGGCCTCCTGCTGTGGCGTCATGGCTGTCATGGAGGGCCGCTTTTTCCTTTTTGCCTTCTTCTTTTGTGAGTTGTGGAAGCGAGTGCCAATTCGGATGTTGAGCGCTTGCAGGATCTTGGAGTAGGTGATGAGCATCACAACTGCAGTGAAGAAGAAAATGGGTATTTGGGCCAGCAGGTGGTAATATAGTCCCAGTTCAGTGTAGTACTGGTTTGAATGCACTACATTCTCCACAACTGTCTGGTTGAGGTCTGCATGACCCTGGGCAAAGAAACCCACCTCAATAAAGGGAACGAGAAAACTGACAAAAGATAGCACCCAAATGGCAGACAGCAAGGTCAAAGCCCGGCCCATAGTCAGCACCCGGTTGGCCGGTTTAACAGAGATGTCATAGCGGTCCAGTGTAATGGCGAGCACATTTGCAGCAGTGGCAACACTAGCAAAGGAGACACAGGCCTCGTGGAAGCAGCAGACCAGGGCAGTGTCCCCCTCCAGAGAAAGCAGCACCACCACGATGGTGAGTGGAATGCAGCACAGGCAAATCAAGACGTCCAGCACATGGAGATTCATAGTGACTATGTTACTGACTGAGCTGATCAAGTTGGACTTCATACAGTAGAGCGCCAGCACAGTGAGGTTGGAGCTCAAGCCCAAGATAATCTCCAACATAAGAAATCCTGTCAGAGAGACTTGGAAGCTGACAGGGTAGGAGTACGGGCTGGGGGTGGCCGGGCTCATGGTGTGGCCGATGGGTTCAGTGTTGTCTGTGACCGTGACGTTACTCATGGTGGCTTCTTTTTCCGGATGGGAAAGGATATGCATTATCCTGCATGTAAAGAAGAGGCCATGTCAGGTTAATGGAACCTCTTTAGATGAGGGTATTTTAGAGCGACATTCTTCAGATAGCTAGACCTATTACTTACACAATTTGCAAACTGTTAATTATTGTTGCATTGTTTAAACTCACACACTTTAACCATAATTTTAAATAATGCAGGCTGTGAGATAAAAGCAAGCTTTACTGTGCTTTGTTATTCTTGTGTTGTTGCTATTTTAGTCAAAGGTGTAAATATTTCAACCTCAGCAGTGAACTTCTCACTATTGCTGCTCCTGGCTATGGCTCTGACAAAACAATCACAGTATAATACAAGTTGTTTTGTATGTAATTAATATTGGGTTTGCCGGGAAATGTCATACACAGGCCCCTTGACTAAATTAAAACCCACAGATTAGGACATGCAATATTAAAATCCCACCACTCACCCCCAGAGAAATACATCTTGGCTGAATAGTACCCTAGACAAAGAGAAAATGAAATAGATTTTAGTAATATTTACCCTTCCCTCCAGCACTATCTGAATTGTGGGTCTGTGTAATCAGGCCATGGAGTCCACGTTGCATCCACAGAGACGAGCATTACATCCAAACACTGCTGATGGAAGAGTATCTGTTCCAACCAGCCCCTCCAGTCGGCTTTCTTTCACTCCGAGTCTGTCACAGAGCTGCCGCCTGCCAGAACAGCACCTGTCTCGAAAGCCAATGGATTGTCAGTGCAACTGCCTGTAATTTTCTGACCCTCAACTGCAGGTGAACTTCTATCCACTTGTTTCCAGAAAGCAGGCTTTGGTCTTTACTGTTTGGACAAATGAACAGCTAGCTTTGCACGTCCACTGCCTGTTAAAATTCTCTTGGTACTTCCAAAAATCACAGAAGCGGGAATTAAACAAAAAACACAAGTCTTTTCTTTTGTAGCCTGGAACGGAGGGTGATCCGAATTGTTGTCGCCAAAATATATCCGTTGTATTCCTGTATATTCCATCAGTGCCATGTCAGATCTCCATAGTAATGCATAGTACCAGTCTCAGAAAGGTCACTGTGTCCGAGGAGCATCTCTCTCCCTTTATCTCTCTCGGGAGCACTAATGGAAGCGAGTGTTCATTCTCCAGTTTACTCATCGGTCTCGGTGAGCCTGGCTCCAGTCTCCTCCGACTTGTAAACAGAGTCCCTGGTTGTCCAAAGCACTCGCTGAACCCGCCATCACTCTGCCGCTAGCATATGAGGAGAGCCACCATTGCAGCTCTTCTGTGGATCTAATCACAGTGACATTTGCGATCAACCAGATTTGGAGGTTGGCATTAAAAAGCGGCGGTTGATTCAACAGTTGGAGATCATCCCAAGAGGGGGGAACGTGAGCTTGTGAGGCCCATCTTCTTTGTACATTTGTGCAGAATGTCACACCGTTTTTGAATCACCTTTAAACAAACCTGGAAGATAAGAAGACAGATAATAACGTGATGTGCAAAAGGAGACACACTGATCAGAAAGAACACAGAGGGGACAAGATAACTAATTAGCATAGCAACACGACTTTCATAATCATGTTCCTGTTGCATGATGTCTGGTGCTCCTTCTCCCTACATTAACATATCTGTTGCATTTAAAACAAAGCAGCACATGAAGAAAAACTGCTTTTGTAGGAGAGCGGCAGACGTAAGATCTTGCGATTCAAGTCCAGTTAAATTATGCATGTAAATTATTGTACGTTCCAGCTACTAGGGTGATGAAATGGTCACATAAATCTGTACTATAGGTGAAATGGTGAGCTGATTCCTCTGCGAAGTTGTCATAAAAGAGATTGAGCTCTCCCCGCGTGACAGCCTGCAATAATATGTTATCTTATTATAACAAATCGGTATTTTCCCAAGGTTGTCACCGAAAACAATCTCACGCATTTACTGCTATAAGAAACTTGTGTTGCCAATTAGGTAAGGTGTGAAGACGATGGCAAGGGGAAAGTTGCAATTAGGTCATGCTTTGAAGTTTTGCACAAGATAGAAGATTTCAGGTTGTAGCACGTAGTTACAGATATACACATGGAATGACAGATTTAAACTTAAATCAAAAAGCTACATTTTTAAACATTTGCAATCAACATCTTTGCACCTGCTAGAGTTTGTGTATCACATTCGTTTCCTGCAGAATATTTCTCCTGCTCTCACCTGCACTTAAATGTTTGGTATCCTTCAAAGCAATAAGTAAAAAGCTCCACAAGCACACAGGTAGACTCACCATGCAAGGACAATTGCAGATCTCCAATAAAAAAACCTCCAACAATTTAGCTTGACTCGCCACAAGTCCTGCTCTGGGGTCTGATAGTTGTAATCCTGAAAACGTTGATGAATATCCAGGGGTCACATCAGCTACAGATGTCGTTCAAACGCTCTAGCTGTATAGATTAGTCCTGTGTTTTGCCTTCCATCTTTCCCTTTAAATAAATCTTGAATACCCTCAGATCTCACAAACTCTAGTGTAGCGCTGCATGTTGCTGTTACTGTGTGGATAAGTGTGCAAACCATCCGAGTCTGTATCTCTCTTCATCCATCCCGCCCTCCCTCCCTCCCTCTCTCTCTCTCACTGCGGAGGTTTGCAGTGCTCCCCCACTCCTGATTGGTCTTCTGTAATAGGCTTAACCCTTTACTTGCTCGACACCGGCAAGGTGTTTCTTGTTTCACCCCCTCAACATGTACCTATGCACGTTATAGTCCTAGCTTTTATATATATATTTTTTTCTGTGGTGAGTTGTCTATAGTAAGCTTAAAAGAGCAGGCATTCATTTGAAGCCATGGAATAAGTCATGTGTCCTTTGGGGGAATGATGAGGATGGAAAGCCGGCAGAGACGAGCAATATTTTTCATATCCAATCGCTGCTCGTTCATAGCTCTTAATATGTGAGCGGGCATGACAGTAGTAGAAACATTTTCGAAGCAGTGAGTGGGAGATTATGCAGGCGAGACTCAGAAGTCAGAGCGAGGGAAGATAGAAGAATCTCCCTGCATCTGATTGATAGTTTCAATTAAGTCTCTGTCAAATCAGCACGGGCTTGACCACCCTCCATTCCTTTGTCAAGCCTCATTTGTCAGGTGCAATAGTTGCCAGGGGGGCATCCGGATACCTGCTGAAAGTAGGAAGAAGGGCATCTGTTGCACAGATAAACTAATGATCACAACTCATGAGGAATACATCAGGACTTCTATTTGTTCAGTGACAGTTTAATAATTGTGGTTTAGCCTGGCTTGAGGATATACTGTGCTTATACTCAGCTCCTGGGAACAGAAACAGAACAGGGGCTATCTAATAGTTGGTGGATGCCACAGCCTTGGTGGTACGGAAATTACGTGTCAGATAATCAATGCATGTGAATGAATGGAAGTTGCAAATTTGTTTGTGGGGTGGTAAATGTGCACGGCCTTGGGTTAAAAAGCAAGTGCCTGCCAAGGAAATGGAAAGCAGGTCTTGTACTTCTAGGTTACAGACATTAACCTTGGATTCATCGTAACGAAAGTAGAACAGAAATGCTTACAAGACATCAGCAATGAACCAAGGAAATTAACGATTACTAGTTAGTTTCTTGAGCGCTGCAATACAAGGGCAAGTATATTGTTGAAGGTCCTTTCTTTTTATGTACATTGCTTTTTCAATATGCAATATACTATATGTGTTATATATTTTCGTTAACTATGGACCGTATTGTATTGTGTCCTTAATAAAGATTATTAATATTAATATAACTCAAACCCAATTTTTGTTTAAAATTCTCTACTATTGTGGCACAGTGGCTCTAAGTGGAGTTTGAATGTTCTCTCCGTGTGTACGCAGGTTTCCTCCTGGGGCTTCGGTTATCCCTACCACTTAAAACATGCACAATAGGTACATCCTCTAGCTCCTGACCAAGCCGGTCATTAACATCTGGAGCTGCACTACGGCGACCATTGCTCCTGACAGACGCCCAAGTGGCATCAGGATGGGTCAAACGCATTGGACAAAATTCCCTACGGGGATAAACAAGGTGCACATTTACACTTAAATTTAACGATTGGACTCTCCAGTTCATAAATTGCAAAAAGTAAAATAACGATAAACATTCAGTCTGGTTGTTTGTTGTCTGTTATCTTGTCAAACCAGAAGTGATGGGAGACCTCTGAACATCAGGTGCCACAGTGGGGTGCTGCGACAGTTGCCTTAGGACAAAATTACATTGCCCAGAATGTGTGAATGGTTGGGGGCCGGAGGGGCCGATGGCACATACTGCTTTCCTCGCTTCTGTCAGTCTGCCCGGGGCAGCTGTATGACAGTAGTAGCTTATCACCACCGTGTGTACGGAATAAATAATGCCATGTGAAGCGTCTTTGAGTAAGCATTTCCAATAGTAATAATAAGAATATATATCTATAATAATAATAATAATGAATTGGTTTTATATATCGCTTTTCAGGACACTCAAAGACGCTTCACATGTGATTATTCATTTACTCCATACACGGTGGTGATAAACTACTACTGTAGCCACAGCTGCCCTGGGACACACTGACGAGGCAACCAGTATGTGTCATCAGCCCCTCTGACTACCATCAACCATTCACATACACACACACACACACACACACACACACACTCATTCTAGGCAATGTGGGTGAAGTGTCTTGCCTAAAGACACAACGACAGTTTGGCACTTTATAGCCGTAGCCGCCCCAGCGTGTGGCACCTGGTGTTCTCCCATCACATACTAACCAACCCCTGCACTGACATGATCTGGCTTTCTCATGCCAATTTGGCCACAAAACCAAATACATTCATGGTTTATTGAAGTGACACTTCGTTGACCTTGTATGCATCTCAGCTGCAAACAATAAAGGTAAGAGACACAACCTCAATTTATTTCGCCTGGAGATTACAAGGAGTGTTCTGACACTTCTCCCACGGTTTCTTTCTAGATGGGCTGCTGCTTACAGCTGGCTTAAGATGAGGAGATACTTTCAGATGCTAAGCCTGTCATTAACTCTAATTCTCAGTAGATCTTTACACTGAATTATGGGAAGCCTGGCACATGTCTTCCACTAGATGAATACAAGGGCTTCTATGTTAGGATGTTGTGATCAAAGTAACAGCTTATAGCCCAGTCAAAGTAATTACATATAGGCTGTTAAGCAGTTTGTGTGGATGTGTGTGCTTTGACTGATGCATACATTTGGATTACAGTGGTAGAAAATTGACACTCTCACTTTCAATGTTAATATTTCACACTTCCCTTGAAAGTTCTCCCCTCCAAAGATGTGTAACTTTTAGCTGTAAAAACACTGCATTCGAAAATGACAAATTCATATTTCATACTGATGAATATTTCATTCACTCTTTTTCTCACGACTCCTAGTGCATAGTATGCAACCAGTTATTTTCTGTCACAGTGAAAAATATACATTTGCTTATGCGGCTCAGGTGCATGCTCACTCAAATTGTTGATTTTGAGTGATAGAAAATGAGTTTGGCCTCAGAGTTGGCTGTATAATGTTTGCCTTGTGTTTTACATGCCAAACACGCTGCTCCTGCAGAAGTGGGATGGGAGCGACTGGACCCAGAGGAGCCTGCCCTCTCACTTTTATCTCCCCCTCCTGCAGCTTGCTTCCTGCACCTCCATTTAGGGCCACTGTGATTTGCTCCAGATTGACCAGAACAGAGGTAGCCCTGCACTAATAGCCTGACTGGTCTCAAATGTTGGTCTGCTGTCGTCTGATCTATTTAAATTTCCCTTTTCCTGAGCCCCGAGGAGCTGCTGGTGCATCCCCTCACAGATGGATCAGGCAGAAATATGGAAATGAACAGAGACATGTCACCTCGGCTGCTCTGTTTGTGTTCCCATTTTAGAAATATCATTCCAATCTCACATAGAACTACAAGAGAAGCCTGGTGAAATGGCTTATTCTGAACTGCTCTATTGTAAATGCCTGGAGTCCTGGACTTTGTCCACAACGTTTTTGGCCTCACTCCTATTCTCCCATTGGAAAGATATATTCAGAGAGCAGACAATGAATATAGATCATAGAAGAGCAGGTGATGAAGAGTCTTTTTGAACTCCAACTGTGTTATTTTTGTATACATTATTATTATCAATACATTTGTTTTACCTCAGATCATAAAGATCATATAAAATTAAACAAATAAAGTCTTTATTTAAATGTTTAATATTATAGTTAGATTAATATAATCTAGAGACCTATTTGAAAATGAATCCATTGTTAAAAAAAAAAAAACAAAAAAAAAAATTCTAACTTGTCTGGTGCACCTGAAGCAGTGCCAGGGCACCAAATGAAAAAGTAGGTGCGCAAGTGCAACCATCCAAAAATGTTTGTCTGGAGCACTGCACAAGGGAGAATGTGGAGCTGTCACATTGGTCCCAGAGGCAGCTCTAGAAGAGCTGTGGTTTAAGCAATAGAGTTGTGTCTCTTGGCAGAGATCTGCGCTCCACAAGTGGTCTTGTAGTTTATTGTTAGGTCCTATAACTAGAATAACATGTGCCCAGCCATGATTTGAGTTAGAAATTATATATTTTTTTGTTACTTATTCCTGTATTTCTTCATGTTTTTATTGTATATTTAATCCGAATAGAATAGAAACACAATGTTGTAATCATCCATCTCTCGTTTTGAATCCAAAACAACATCTGGTTTTTAAAGCTCTTAAAATCTTGTCATGACTGTCCATTTCCTGTGTATGGGTTGTGGTATTGGTGTTCCCCAGGGGTGTGTTCTCAGTCCCCTGCTGTTCAGTGCTGTCAGATTATGGCTTATGACAGCATCACCACAGGCTGCAGCTCAGACAAAGAGCAGTCTGTACATCAGCTTCATGTCACTGTGCTGCCGGGACAAGCACCTCCTGTCTGATGGAGCACACATCTACAGATTCATTATTCAAGATCAACATCACTCTGACCAATGACAAACTCGAGCCACTGTGTTGTTCAAGGTCACATTAGAACTCATCTTGACTTCCAGATATGTTTCTTATATACATTGATTTTATTCGATTTACATTTTAAATTTTTGTTGATTCAGATGTTGGGAGGGCTCACCCGAATCACAAAAAAAGTAGGGTTGATAGGTGCTCTCCGAGGTCCTGGAGCCACTCTTGTAAATTATTATTCCCTTTGGTTTTCCTACTACTAAAAACATGCACAATAGGTATGAATGTAATGAGTGAGTGAATGGATGGTGTTGGTTGGGAGCTTTGATTTTGTCTTCGCCGACTCGCTTCAGTCATCACCAATGTGTGGAGGGATCGGAACAATATCTGAACTTTGAACATTGTAAAGCACTTTGGGTGACATTGGTCTGTAAAAATGCACTATTTAGATAAAGATTGATTACTTACTTTTTCTATGACAGATATGGCCAATATTATTATGATTGACCACGTGTAGATATATCTTGCTTGTTGGTGAGGACTGAAATGTTGACACTCTCTGCAGTGAACGTTCTGCTTACTGCCCTTCACCGCAAAGAAGGATGACCTTCTGAACCTGTACCGTCAGCACTGCATGAAGAAAACAAAAATCTTCCCCTGACCCTGAGCGACCCTGTCTCTAACTTTCACACTCATCTGGAATGGCACCACACCAGCATCCAGGGGCCAAGGAAGCATGCCGGCTGACAACCACAAGGTACCATTGAATTTGAGTCAATACAATAACTGCATCGACAACCTGGAGAAAACACAGGTTTCCTCCAGGTGCTCCTGTTTCCCCAACACTGAAACATGTACAATAGTTCTTGCATGGGCCGCCTGTATGGGTAACCCCTCTTTCATCACTGTGTGTGGAGGGAGAGGAAAAAGGCACACAGCGATTGTAAAGTGTTTTGTGGCTGTTTGTGAAAGGTGCTATATAAATAAATGATACTTACAGTATACAGTCAGTAGAAACAGCGTTTTGAAGTGACATGTGCATGCCAGCATGGGTGATGTTACAAGCAATTCATTCCAGCGATGATAATTGTGCAACGATTCAACTATGATCTATCCGTGCCAGTAGCGCTTCAGACGCAATCATCTAAATTAAATAGGGAAAAGAAGAAAATGTGCTTGATGTTTATTTGCATTAATTTTATTAGCTGAGGCTTGATATATGATTAATGGTAATTACATTGTATTGCATTGTTGAACTGAACTCAAACTGAGTCATTTTAAAGAAGAAATGATATGCTTTTTTGGCCTTTAAAACTATTATGAGACTATTTACTATAATTTCATGTTTTAGGATGTGAAATTATACCTTAAGTAAAAAATATTGTGAAACATGTATGAAGGGTAAAACATGTTTACCACAGTGGGGGCAGGTCCTGGCTCAAAAGGGTCCATGAGCATGTGCACTGACATCAGAATCAGAATTAGAATCCTGTTTATTGCTCTCGGTACAAACAAGTTAAGCAGAATAAAATCAAAGGCATGCATAAATAAAAATCTACATAAATGTCTTCAGTTTACTATAAAGTGCACTAGGTGCACACAATAGACCGTTAAGAGTGCGGTAGAGTGCAGTAAAGTGACGGTCATAAGGTCAGAGGTCAGAGGTCAGTGATGGTTTATGAAGTGTTAGTGAGTCCAACAGCAGAGGAGAAGAAACAGTTCTTATGGCAGAAGGTTCTGGTCCTGATGGACCGTAGTCTCCTGCTTGAGGGGACTGGTTGGAACAGTCCATGTGCAGGGTGAGACGGGTCAGCAGTGATACGACCAGCCCGACCACGAGCTCGGGGCGACATGCTTGTAATCTGACTCCTTGCCGCTGGTGTTGTACCTTCTGTGCTCTCGAAAACTGCTTTACTGCCTGGTCCAAAAGTCGGCTCTTGGCTCAACGCGACGTTCCAGATGTGAGTCATTGGGTGGGGTATATTTTTTGGGACCAGTCTAGTTAAGCCACTGTGGACTTTGGACTGCACTCGTTAAATGTATGGGGCTCGTTCCGGCTAACGCAAATGCTTTTTTTGACAGATTCCTGCGGGAATGCATGAGGGTCACACCTATATTTCAATAGGCATCACTACGTTTGTTAATATTTACAGTCTATGGTTCACCACCTGTAACTCCTTATGCAAGCCCCAGAGAGGAGGGGAGTTCCCAACGCTCTGCACATGATAACTCAGTAATACACTTGCACTAATACAGGACTCTCTTTCAGATGATCCCAATTCTTTATCAACAGAAAGATAAATGTACATTGCATCCTCCTGTTACGTTTGTAACAGGCTATGGCCAGACTAGGACCAGCTGTTCACCCCCATCACTGAGTTTTCCACTTCCCTTTGACCACTGCACTCCCCTTCGCACTTGATCAATTTTTTTTTTCATGGTACGCACGATTTCCGTCACAGAGACACTTGTTTTGCCTTCAGATGTTGGCCATTTCCTGTCATGGCCGAACATCTGTTTACGTTACAGATGTCAGAGTGCGTGGTCCCAGGCGTGGGAACACTGGGGAGCACATCAGGGACCCACCAGTCGTCGGGGGAGGGGGGAGTGTATCTTGGGGACAGGCACGTAGGGGACTGAGACGCATCGTCACTGTTTAGAGCGCAGAGTTTGTCCTCTCATTACATCGGGACGTGCTGTTGTTACCCCTGGGGATCACTTTTGCTTTCCCCCTTCAACTCTTCAAATGATCAGCATCCATTCAAATCTATTCTCTGCTTCATCTGACTTCCAACGACTGATTTAATGTCGTCGTTTTAGATCCGACAAAATGATGAAATTAACAGCCCGTCTTTTATTCAGTTATTTTTGAATAAATCCCTCGTAAATGATCGTTCACTAAATATTAATCATATGTTTGTTAGCCGTGGTTTGGTAATGGATACACTCTTTATTGTATCTAAACAATTGTATGATATAAACTTTATATATAAAGCACATTTACAACAACAACATCAGCTGCTCAAAGTGCTTCAAATGTAAAAAATTGCATTGATTGATTTGATTTTTTTTTTTTTTATTCTTTTGAGCAGAAATTTTATAATCTTAAGTATATATTTACATTCCTTATTTTACAGCGTACAGTATATTTTACAACTATTTGCATGACTTACAAATACATGTAAAATATCACACGTATTTTTATACATTTTGTATCTTTCTAATTTGTTATATTTGCCGTGTTCATAAATGCTATGGTCTACGCTATAAACCATGGAATATCTCATCTATTTACATCCAATCGAACTTTCATGTAATTGGGTTAGCGTTCTCATTTGCATGTGTCTTAATATGTTTCTTTCTAATCCTCAGCTGCTTAATGCTAAGTACAGTGTTGCCCTAGAGGCCCTACTCTATATACTGTATCAGAGATGCGTGTTGGTTTGTCATTAAGATTTGAGGCTGGCATGCTGTCACTGCCCTAATCCTGTCAGCACCAGTCGCTCTTCTGGACTCCAGCACAGTTGGATGATTTTGGATGATTTTGTGGAGTTACGGATGACGTTGTAAGATTGTAAAACACATTGCCGCTGCCAACAGTCAAACCTGACCTGCGCATAACCTGCTCCGGAGGTGTGTTGTTGATTGTTTGAACTCCTCCAGAAAGGCCAGCTCCACGTCCAGGGGCGTGAGGAGCCGGGCTAACAAGAGCCAGGCTTATGTGAAAAACGCCTTTAGGGTCCTTTGAAAGAGGTGACGTGCCACAGTCTTCAGAGACCATTAGGAGCACTGACACCCCAATCTAAATGGAGCACACTGACATTTAGTGCCTTTTCATGCCATTTTCACAGAGCTGTTCACCATTTTGAACTCACTGATGGCATTTGCACCAAGAAATGTGTCTGTGTCATGTTAGGAAAGCGTCTGCGCTAAGAAATGTGCAAAGAAATGAGCAGATTATAATAAACAGCCTCTTGAACTTTCACATTAGCTTTTCTCCTGATATTTTTTGTTAAATATTATCCTAAATAATAGATCCTGTTTAACGAGTGCATTACCTGAAGGCTCTTCTTTTTGTTTATGTGCGCAAACATGTCCCCACTGAGGGATGAACAAAGGCATATAATTGTGAATGTTTTACTGAATTTTTTTAGTTTTATTATTTGTTATAAACAGCTAGAATGTTTACGGCAGAAGTTATGAGCGTAATTCTAACTTTTAAATGTATTTGTACCAAGTTAACGATTCAATGAAACGATAACTTGAAATTAATTTTGTCCAACTCTCAACATGAGAAATATTATGTGACAACATCTTTGCTCTGACTTGTTTAATTGTGAAGACAGACTTGCAGTTGGAACATTGGGACCTAATTCTTGTTTATTCTCTGTTGAGATCTGGTCCCCAGGGAGAAGAGGAGATCAGGCTCCATTAGTTGTGTCAGTGAAAAGTAACAGGACGTTCAGTCCAGTGTTTGTCTGCACATGTATGTCTCTGCTGTTTGAGTGACTGGTGGTCGAGGGGCCAGTGGTGCAGGTGGTCTGTGCAGAAAAACATAAATCAATATATTGTCTTTTAAATCCTTTATTGACTATTTATTAGAATTTCATAAGTTTAGCATACGACCAACCAAATGCACTAAATAATGGTGTGCGTTTGTATTATCCAAACGATCTGTGACGCTGCAGCTCAAGTCCTGACCAGAACCAGGAAGTACAATCACATTAGTCCAGTCCTCAGGTCTCTGCACTGGCTTCTGGTGACTCAGAGAATAGACTTTAAAAAAGCTCTGCTTGTGTACAAGTCTCTCTATGGCCTCGCACCAAAGTACATCCGTGGCATGTTAGTACCATATGAACCAACTGGGACTCTGAGGAGCACAGGGACTGGACTCCTGTTAGTGCCCAGAGTCAGAACTAAACATGAGGAGGCAACATTTCAGATTCATGCTGCTAAAATCTGAAACTGTCTTCCTGGAATTGTGAGAGAGATTGTGTTCTACTTCACACAACTGAAGGTTTGTATCATTACTCCAAACTCCTACATCTGTTTTGGCTCGTGCACAAAAGTTGGGCATACCCAAATGTCTTTGCTTATTTAAAAACACATCTTACATCTCACATGCTTGTGTGATGCATCATTTTAAAGCTAGGCCCTTCTAGTTTATGTAAATATACACTGACTGAAATAATGTATGTCATTCCTATTTTACTCTGCATCCTTTGAAGTCTGGGAAAAAAAACAGTTTTTTTTATCCTTGCCTAAAACATTCAATGTATAAATGCCCTAAAAAAGCCTACTTCATTGGAAGAAGAACATTTTCAATGCTAATTTGTTCATTGTGTTGTTGACAACAACTGTGTAAAGTTTGACTTCTAAGTTTTATGGTTTTTATACAGTTTCTCTTTTTTATCAAGTAGTGCCATTCGGAACCAGTTTGGCAAAATGTGTGCCAAATTGTGCCACACTGCTTTACTAACATTTCACCATCATAAAAAGCATATTTTTTAGTTTTGGTACTTATAAGTTACAAATCTGTGTGATTTTATTTTACATTTTTTCAAAATTATTTTTTTAGTAGAGTAAATGCATATAAAATATGCGCAGCAGTAATAACAGCGTCTTTACGCACGCTTTTACTGTGAAAATGAAAAGAGTTCGTACAAGTCCCACCCATCAAAAGAAAGCTCTTTTTATTGGCTACTTAGACACGTCAATCATTCAGTGCTAGCACATTGCGCTTGCCTGTATTCAACAACAAGGCAAAACGGACCCTGTGCAAGTGGATGCGGTTCGTCTTTTTCACAAGGGTCCTGCGGACTGAAACCTGCTCCTATCTTTTCATGGAACCTCTCCTTTGAAGCTAAGGACTCAAGGAACACGTGGATGTTTGTGGGGGTAAACAAAGCTCAAACTTGGTGAAATGTGAAAGAGAAGCCTGAACATTTTTCGGAGCGTTTTTTTTTTGCAACAGAAAAATGCACATTTTTGGATTATTTCTGAAGAATGTATTATACTTTGGGAAATACAAGTGGATATTCTTTTTCACTGAAGACTTACGGAGAGAAAGAGACTAAGCAAGGATGGGGAAAGTCTAATTTGTTTGAGCAGCAGAAGACGAAATGTAAGAAACTTATACAAACACGATTTATTTTGTCCCCATATTATGCGTTATATCTTTTTAATGCAAAGTCTGATATTGTTCACACTTACATATAACTATAGCCGAGAAAATAAGCTTTAAAATGATATATAGCTTGTGGATCATGAAGTTCAAAATACATCTGCTATTGCCAGCAGAAGTATTTTTTTTCTCTTGTTTGCGAGCTGAAGAGGTTAATGTATTTAGAATTTTAATGCTTGATGATTGTTTTTACCTTGTTTTGTTGAGCACTGGCCTTGTGTATGAACTATACAAATAAACTTGCCTTGCCTCTTATTCATAATATTTGCTGTGGAGTTGAATACGTCAACTGACATAGACATACAGGTGACTAAAGGGAAACATTCAGTAAAAATATTACTTCAATTCAAGGTAGTTTTGTATAGCCCTAAATCACAACCGGCGTCATGTCGGAGGACTTTACAAAGCCTACTCTAAACCAACTAGCACCAGAAGAGATCTACATTTAAAATGTAAAATGATAAAATTCTGTTTTTGCGGACCGCTTTGACATAATTGCACTCGATTGTGGACACGCCATAGTTAAAGCTGCACTAACTGACTTTGAGAAATGTTCGAATGAGAACGCTGAGCTCGCGCTCTCTGCTTGCCCTCGCCGCACAGAGCTTTCGTCCCCTCAGCTTCTGCTCATGCTAACTGTATACGGAGCTCACGTCTCACAATATGGACACATTGTAACGCGGATGGCGTGACCATAGAGGGATTGAACCGAGAGGAACGAGTTTTTCTTTTGGATGGCTGTTTCGCTGTGTAAGCAGTAACCCGTAACGAAGACACGGGAAGTTTCAGGTTTGCCTCCGTCGCTTGTTTACCTCAGCTGTCTGTGCTAACGAGAGACCTGTAGATTTTCTCAAGAAAGCGGGGGCCAGTGGTCCGCTGTGATTGGTCACAATCTGGACCCGAAACACATTCTCTTCCTTGTTTCACAAAAACTCCATCTAAAATTAAATGACACGCCAGGACAAACCTGCGCAACTTTTTCTTCAAAATAACGTATATCCCAATGCACTGCGTGGATCTTAGGGTTGGGCAATATTTTTTTTGTACCGGTATACCGGTATAAGTAAATTAAATGATAAGAAAATGCCTTATCATTTAACACTGAAAACAGCGAGCGGAAGACACGTTTGTGTGCGGCGCACTTTGATGACGCATCTGCGCGGCACGTGTAGCAGAGCGGCGTGCAGGGACAACAACAACAGAGCAGAGAGCAAACATGGCTGAGGGCGGCGGTGAAGACCATGGTGAAGACATGCAGATTTTAGAAGACATTGTGCCAAAACGCGGAGCTACCTCAAACATATGGGAGTAGTTTGGGAACTAGATAAAAAGACGCAATTGTGTGTAACTATCGACAGTGGATCTAATATTGTGAAAGCAGCTGCCCTAAACAACTGGACTCCAGTGGCTTGATTCCACACTCGCTCTCTCTCTCTCTGTCTCATAGTGCCATTGGTAAGCTTTATTTACTGTTTATTGTCATTCATTTTACTTCAATGCATGTGTTTGTCTACATTGAAATAAAATTACAAATAAGTTATAATTACATAATTATAGAAACGCAAAAGGATACAAAAAATATATACAGTATTTGATCATTTTGACTATATTGGGATTAGGAAACATAAGCCAAAGTGATCAAATAATTATTTGATAATGCTACACTTTTTATATTACAAAGGACAAACTTTTATATATTTTACAAATTACAAATGTTCACCTTTATTACATGTTGCCTGCAATTTTCAGTATGTACAAAACAGAATTCTCTACAATTCAGTTTTGTTAAAGCTGCACTAACTGACTTTGGGATTTTGAAGCAGCAGACTCGCTGGCCTCGCTCTTTCTGCTCCCCTCCCCGCACCCACGAAGCTATCGCCCCCCACACACACTCACTGTTGGGACGGAGCTAGCGTCTCGCAATATGGATAATACACGGATATGGATTTGCACGTGGATGGCGTGACCATAAAACGATAGAACCGGGAAGCGCGGAGGAACGGGACTTTCTTTTGGATGGCTGTCTCGCTAAGTAAGCAGTAACCGTGACGAAGACACACGAAGTTTCAGGTTAGCTCCTCGGCTTGTTGTGCTAACTCAGCCGTCTATGCTAACGGACCTGGAGATTTCTCACGAAAGTGGGGGCCTGTGGTCCGCTGTGATTGGTCACAATCTGCGACCCGAAACACATTCTCTTCCTTGTTTCATCAAAACTCGATCTAAAATATAATGTCATGCCAGCCCAAACCTGCGCTACTTTTTCTTCAAAAGGACATATATCCCAATGCACTACATGGACATGGATAGCATTTTAGTAATGAATACAAAAATAAAGTCAGTTAGTGCAGCTTTAATACGTTTTATATACAATAGCTGTATTACACATTTTGCTGCCAATAAATCAGTAAATGCACTTTGAGGCAAGTCTGTTTAAAATTATCAGTGCTAAGTTTTTATAGCTTTTATATGAGGCTTTGTTAAAATTATCATATCGTCATATCGTGATACATACCAACAAAAATCGTGATACATGCTGAGGCCCATATTGCCCAACCCTAATGGATATGGATTGAATTTTCGTGATGAATACAAAAATA